AGGAATGGACAAAGCTTGTGCTAAAAGTTTGCATTTTACACTAGAGAACACTTGACAAAGCTGCTGTGTGTCAGCTGTGTATCAGTTTCCAGCTCATTTCCAGTTCAAGGATCAGGCTTTTCATTCATTGTTGCTCTCTGTCTCGTCCTTCCCCTCTCTGTCTCCCCTCATCCTTCTGTCTTTTTCTCTCTGTGTGTCTCTCTCTCCCCCTCTCTCTCTCCCTGTAGTCCATTGCTATATATAGACTTCTGCATTGCAGATGTCCCAGAGCCCTGCAGTTTTGGAGGAGCTGCTGAGGAGTCCCAGCCAAAACCCTGGCTGCCTGACACACACAGAGTGCAGGCGAGCAGAATCATCAGACTGACTGTGCACCACAGGTTGGGGCAGCTGAACCATGACAGGACTGTACACAGTATCAGTGTACATGTGCCGTATGCTGTGCAGAATGACTGAGCAACGTCCGCGGCATCAACACTGCGGCAAGGATGAAGTGCCCCCCACAGAATGGAGTCAAAAGCACTGCAGTCATAATCTTTGGGTGGGTGGGTGGGTGAGTGAGCGGTTGGGTATTTTTGTTGTCATGCTAATTTTTCTCAACTGTTTTCTTTCTGCTCTTAAAGTCTTGTTTTTAAAAGAACTGCTGGGTGATGGTTCAAAGTTTTCGAAAGCTTTACATGTGTTAAAACTTCAAGGATGGAGAGTGAATAATCACACCTTCAGAAACAGTACCAATCACTGTTTATTCCAAAACATGTTTGTTCCTTATGTAAGTCATGACAAATAACTGTAGTTAATTATTTAAATGTCAGTTGGGAACATATATCGAAATAATTCCAATTAAAACTATAAAAATAATAAATTTAGTGATGTGACTTCATCAAATAAGTTACAATATTTAAAGAAAATTTGTGGAAGCTTGGCATAAATACAGCAAAGCCAGAACACCTATAGAGTAACAGAAAAAACAATTAAATATTCCTTACATGCAACATCAGTTTAGTTTTATAAAAATGACAGAAAAACAGACAAAAATTCTTTCTGTCAAATAACAAGGACAACATAAGAAAATTGGAAGTTAAAAGACTGTGCCAAGTGATGGCGAGTGTGATTATCAACTTGCCTCTAAAGCTTAAACACTTAAAGATCACCTCTGATGGAAATCAGGTTTTTAACCTTGTTAACATTCATATGGTGTTTTTTATATAATAGATGACATATCAGGGGCAAAACAAGCAGTCAACGTCATAACTGAGTGTTTCCACCTTGGAGCTGCAGTGAACCAATGACAGCCTCATAAAAACAGATTCAGACAGACAGGGTTTCATACGTCACAAACCTCAGGAACCAATCCTGTCAACTTGTGGGGACAGGGGGCGGGGCTAAATAAACCTGAAACCTTATCAGTACAGATAGAGAGAGTTTTCATTAGCACAACCACTAACACTGTGTCAGCCACTGCCAGCTACAAGCTAACAAACAACATAAACAAACAGAAGATGCTAAGTACGCTAACTGTTCTGATACGACTATTAGTCTCTGATTCTGGTCTCAACAGACTCCTCATCTGAGTCTGGGTCTGACTGAGGCTCAAACATGTGGCTGAGTCTCTCTGATGTTTCCTGCTCTAACCATCTTGATACTCTCTGCTCTTTCACCTGTCAACCTGGAGCAAGCAGGTGGTGGGCGTGGCACAAGGTTGAGCCAGATTTCTTCCAGAGGAAGTGAGTGTAGATTTTCTACCGTGTCTGGAGAGGAAGTATAATGAAAAGAAGTGAAATTGCAGTCTGTTTATTGGGAGAAAAGAACTGTTTTTCTGAGTATGTACTTGGTCTTTAAGGCAAGTTTATTTGTACAGCACCTTTCAACAACAACTCAATTCCAAGTGCTTTATATAATACACAAAATGCAACCTAAGAACATATAAAAAAAAACATAAACAGGATTTAAAAGGATTAACCTAAAATAGGCAATAAAAATAAACCAGGCCTGCCTCAAGATAAGACACGAATAAAGTGGGAACAGAGGCAGAGTAGCTACAGTACGTTGACAGGTTTAGTTCTAATGTTTTGAACATGACCTGCACAAGTTCCTTTTATCTTTATGCAAAGACCTGGTGAGCTGTGTTCACTACAGGTAACTGTGGCAACACATTTTGTAAAAATGTTGCAAAAAAATCAAAGAAAGTCATGTAAATCAGCTCAGACGAGGAACAACAGTTTCATTTTTTGATAACTAGTTTATGTAACCTAAAGATTAGTCTGTCAGATTTTGCAGATTGTTGTCTGGGTGATATATGAAGATGTAAACTGCATCATCCTGATGATCCTAAAGCTCCCTGTTCTGTTTCACAGCCATGTTAGGACCATTCATCACTGACTACAGAGCCAGTGAACACACTACAGTATGGTGTCAGATCCTATTGAACTGTTATATTTGAGCTGCAATGCTCACCTCCTTTTACTTCTGCTGCAACAGCGGTAGCCCATTAAGTATTTATAACTGCTGGCTTCTGTCAGGCAACAGGACTGACACAAACACGCACGCACGCACGCACGCACACACAGTCATGTCTCCATGACTTCAGTGGACATTCCTGGATACCCACTCTAACCTTACCTAACCTTAATCATAACTACTTCTTGCTTAATCATAACTACATGGGCACACCCATACCCATACCCATACCCACTCACACACCCACCCACCCACACACACACACACACACACACACACACACACCACACACATGCACACACGCACACACACATAATTACAGTGAGCCTTTGCTGCCACTTGGTGTTAAAGGTGCAAATTACAGATAGTTTAAAAGCAGCAGATGACCACGACCATCACATGCCTTGTAGTCTTCATGGAGACTTCACTGACTGACATAGACCTCCACTGAACTGATAATACACTTGTCCAATAAATGTTATTGAGTTTAAAAAAAAAAAGAAAAACAGACCCACAATACCTACTCATGAAGAGCAGGGGGTATTTTTGTTGCTTGGAGATTTTTAAAAGTTTTACTTTTATTTCAGCTGGTCATTATTATTATTAAAATTATTATTATTATAAAGTTATACACTTACTGAATACAGTCTGTCATCATACCAAAAATGTGAGTGAGGTGAGTGTATGACATAATATATGACAATAGTAAAATTAAACATTCAAAAGGCCTCATTTGACTAAGAAGAAGAATTCTGAAGAATTTATAGACATGACATTTAAACATCATCAGTCAGTGTTATATATTGTAATGTTATATATATACTGTAGATATAGTGTATATATATATATATATATATATATATATATATATCCCCAGTTTCCCTCTATTTTGGTCACAGTTGACTTCACATACAGTAATCTTTACATCTGTGAGAGTGTTAGATATGACAGCACTTAGTGGCACATGCTTTTGGAGGAAAAGGTATATGGTAAGTATAAGGTCATGAATCAAAGTTCCTACACACAGGTAACAGGGGGACAGAAACAGATCGCTCTCAGTTTGTTATGGTGACTGGAAACTTCATGTGGCCAGTCTCAAATTAAGATAAATTAAAACATTAACTCTCTGGTCTTTCTGACAATCAGTGGTCACAACCTTCTTGTTTCAGCTGCCCCTTTCTCCATCAACATGTCGATCCAGGGTTGGTCTCTAGGGGGAGATAGTTGCCCTCTGACAGGCAGTGTAGCTGATTGAATGGAGCTGAATAAAAGGTGCTATTTGAGACTGGAACATTTATAGGCTCACATGAGAGTTGATTCCAGCTCCACAATGATGCAACAACGCAAAACACCATGTTACAGTTCTTTTATCTCATTGTAGGAAGAGTATTTGTGGTTCATTATGAAATAGTGGCAGCACAGCTAATTAATTAATGGGAAACAGTTTTTGCATTGCAAAGCCTTTCTGTGGTCATTCTCTTTAACTTGCACTGCATATTTTTAGTTTACCATTTTATAATTCAAGTGCTTCACAAACAGATTATTTTGGATTCTTTCCTTGCTAACTAAAGGGTGGTGTCGTAAAATGTAATGTAAACGCATAATGTAAAGTGTCACAATACTTCTCCACATACTCTCTGTTGTAGCTCCAGAGTGTTTCCTTAAAGTGGCAGCCTGTTATAACTGGACTGGGCACGCTATTCACAACTGTTCCTTATTTCACAATAAGGAGGTGAAGAAGCAAACGTAGTGGAAGAAACCAATTTCTGACCATGAATCTGTAGAAGAGGGCCTCTCTTGTGTAATTCTTAACAAGGAATTCTCCAATTTCAACAAAACGTTTTTTGAGGATTTCTTTGCTCACTAGAGGCTGGTGATCAAATAGTTGCTTTGTTTTATGCTTCTTGTTTTATTGCGCAAACAGTAATCATTGCATTGTTGTTACTGTCAAGACACCTGCCAACCTTGGAAGAGATTCTTATTGTGTGTCTGTTCCCAAGGAATTTTCCACTTTAACTCTTCAGATAAGTTCTTTGAACAGCTACCCTTACAGCAACACATGGTTCAACAGTGTCAAACACAGGTTACCAGCCCGGTTGGGCAAGGTAACGTTAGCAGAGAAAAGTCAATCAGCTAACGCTAGCGCTAACTAGCAAGCTTGGTTAGCAAGGTGAATCTGCAATTCACATTAACTGTGATATCAATATCATATATTGTAATATTGCTAACCCTTTGTGGTGCATTGTACACATTGTATACTTAACTAAAAATGCAAATGAAGTGCATTACATTTGGAAACCATGAAGAAATTTAACATTTACTTACTGAAGAAACTAGACACCAGAATCCTTGGAAGCTCTGTTAGTACAAAAAAAACTTCGGAAAAACTTTATTGATTTATTATTTCATGATAGAAATTGAAGCCTTTTGACAGGGAGTGTTTTTGAGACAGATTCTTTGGATCTATCTATCTATTACATGGACTTTATTTTGAAAACCGGAAGTTTTGTTTTTCGTTTATTCCTGGTTAAGTGATATCGACTGGGTTCTTCGTGTGAACAGTGTTGGTGTGCAAAACCTTACCAGGATCGTAGCAGAAGATCTGTCAGTCACTATAACAAGTTTGTGTGTCGGAGCCACAGGACCTTCGCTGTTGTCGTTAAGCTACGATCTGCTAAGATGACAGAGTTGAGGCACCGTGGAGCCAGAGACACCGACCCAGCGTTACAACAGCAGCCGTCAGAGGACAAGGTAGCCTTAGCCAAGACTCAGTCCTGCCATTTGAAGTGATGCTAATGCTAGCTAGCCAGCCAGCTATCCTAATGCATTAGTGTTAGTGGCTCGTGTAACGTTAGCTAGAGGAAAAGAAATGTCAGAATTCATTAAAACACGGGGTTTTCGCGTGTTTTCTTCGGACTCTCTTTCTTACTTAGCTACAATTTAAGAGCGGATACAGTCCGCTGAAGTGCGCTGTACAAATCATCCGCCAATTTATTGACATTTTAGACTTGATTGGCTGATGCTACTCACCGTCTTCCTGGGTGTGTTTTCGTCGTGAAGACACCAGGCAAGCCACTTGCAGAAGTTAAAATTGGATTGCATTTAGCTCTGCTTTATCTATCAGGTATATGCCGATGTATAGAATCGCTCTCCTTCTATACTATAAAAACTTAAACTGTATTTGAATCGTCTTCTTTACTTGCTGCTGAGCAAAGCAACAGTAAATTCTGAAGTATTTGACTGATGCCTGGTGAGCTATCCACATACACTGTCCCACATCAGGACTACATTAGCACTGAAAAAGCCTGATGGGCAACTCTCCATATCTATTATCTGGTGTCTTTGCTGTGAACTGTTTGTTTTTCCACCAGCTTGTTTACTGTAGGACTGCTAAACGACCAATGTAACAGCATTAGATTGACTAATCTGAATGCTACAATAATAAATCATACTGCCTTAGGTATTAATCTCCTGTTGTGCTGAAACTGAAGGGAAATAAATGCATTATCTGTGTTAATATGGATTTCAAAGTTGTTTCCCAGTGAGTAGTGTGACCCAGGAGAGGTGTGTGGTAATGGTTTGATGGATCTATCTAGGACATGAGGACGAGATTACAGAAAACTGGAGAACAGCTTAAAGCATATAGGAAATTAGTGGATCAGAGCATCAACTACATCCCAACAACAAACCACACAGGGCTTTTTAGGGGAATGGTTGATTTAGTGCTTTCTCTGAATGTGCTGCTTTTTACTCCATTTCTCTTGGTCGCTGTGTGTTTCAGGACAGTGTAGAGAGTACTGACTGAAGTTGCTTTGGTGGTTCTAATGTGGATCAGCAAGTTGTGCAATAAATTCATTATAACAAGTGTCCTATGAGGTGATGTAGAAATTCAGAGAAACAATAAATTATTATGGCTGCTTGAGGTGAGGGAGGCCCACAGACAGATTGATCCACAACATACAGTTTATTAGGTCAGTAGGCTGTTCTGGTGGATCCCCTGTCAGTGACATAATCATCATACCAAGGAAAAGTAAAAAAAAAAAAGAAGAGGTGATTACTAAATCTGTTCTGGCCCTGCCTTGACATTTATATCTGGTTGAGCTTTCCAAGGCGAGCTCTACAGAAAATGACATCAGTTTATAAAAAGTGAGGTACTTTTTATGGTGGTTAGCATAAATAGTAGTACTGTGAAATTCAATTCACATGTTAATGACGGAGTCACACTTTGATTAAATTACAAAACAACATACTGGATACCAGCTTGATGCATCATCTGGCTGTGTACAGTTCTGTTTAAAGATCTGGTTTCAGTCAGTAAGACTCATCTTAAATACGTACATGGTCTTCAGCTATAAATATTTGCATCCGATGAACTTAGCACGACACAGCTGAAAACCTGGATGACAAACCTCATCAAACCTCATCTTTCCCTTTTGTTGCTTTATCAAGGACCCACTCTTCTCTGGGTTTTGATACCCTGGTCTAAAAGCTCTAAAATCCCACTGAAGATGGGACTTAGATCATAATTGTGCCCATTCTCTCACAGCTCGCAGGTCTAGCCTTTCCTAATGAATTGGAGATAAACAAAACAAAGACACTCAGGGTTGCCGCTCATCTTCCAGAAAGCCTGAAAGGGGAGGAGTGTTTATGTGAAACGAGCTCCTATTTTTAACTCAAGCATCCTGAATGACGGATATCGTCTCCATAGAAACCAGCAGAGGGAGATTGAGTCTGTGTGTGTGTGTGTGTGTGTGTGTGTGTGTGTGTGTGTGTGTTCCTGTTTAGGCTTCTGCATTCAGTTGGTGGGTTTTGACAGTTACTGGTAGATTATTTTGTTAATTGTTTCATATAATTTGAAGTGTACATGTACATTTTTTCCCTTTTATCTGAGTTGTTGCAGAGAGTTGTGGTGGCCAGTCAGGGAGTCAGTCTTTTGCTTAGCACTAACAAAGTGATTGCTGCAAATGACAAACTGTGATCCACAACCTCCATATTATATCTTTCTATTGAGCCAACTGAATCCACACAGCAAAACTTTAATCAGTTTATTATAAGAAACGTCCTTTCACATTATAAGAACATTCATTCATTTTATGACTTTTTTATTATTAATACATTGATTTTGCACAATAATACGTTTTATGATATAAAAAGAAAAACCTCCTTGTTAAATCAGATAAATTTATTATCTATTAATAACAGGAGAAATGTGACATAATATATAAAATACCTTGTTCTGAATGTGAAAAAGATATTTTTTATCATAACAAGAAACTGAGCAAATGATTTTTGTGTTGGCAGCAATGTTGTGGACTGTTGTGGATTTTTTTTTTTCATTGTGAATTTGACTGGTTTTCTTGTTAATGTATATTATGCAGGTCTTTTCAAGAATTTGATAACATGACACTGTATCATAACAAATGCCCACTATCCAAAATATAATGGTGTATCATTACATCAGCTGAAGATGCCTGAATGAACCATGACATTGACTATGAATGTGGTGTTGGGGTTCTCATTTATTTATTTGTTATAACATAGATTTACATGCATAAAAAACATAATTTTGAGGTGGTTACATTATCACAGCATTATGTAATGTACCTTTAACCTGGTAAAAGGTCAGTAAAGTTCAAAATACTGTAAGTTGATAATGACAGACATGTCCCCGGCTCAGTCTTTGCAGCATGTTTGCTGTCACCATTGTAAAAGTAAAGGTGTAGAAAAAGGAACAAAAATACAGACGATAGCTCAGCAAAATAAGACAAAATATCTGGCATGTTATTAATGGAAAATATAAAAAGTTTCCAGCTGCAGTAATATAGCAGTGTCTAACAGTAAAGGATGTGTGTGTGAGACTGAGTGGGCGTCACAGCAAGTCAGCCATCTGCTGTGTGAATGTGAAGTGAGAGCTGTGAGCCTAATTTGGTCACCAGCAGCAGAAAGGTCAGTGGGTGGGAAGTGAGAGAAATGAAAGGACAGACTGACCTGTGGAAACCTCTCTGTTCAACTGACATCATCTGATGACCTCCATGCTTTGATTATTGTTACCATGGAGAAGCAGAGAGCGGAGTGTGCTTTAATCAGGTCTCCATCAAGTGAGCAGATGGTTCTGAGAAATCAACAGTATGGATGGAGATGATTTGGCGCAGTGTTTAACCTCCCACACACAACCCTGCACTGGCAGTCCTGCTGCTGTTTGCTTAATACAGTATGTCCATCTCTGATACCGTGAACCTGAGGCAGCGTGTTCAGTGTTGTATCAACATGAGTACAATACAGAAAATGGGCTGGACTGGACTGTTCTGACCCACAGGGCTTGGTCCACCCACACAGACGTTTTTACTTATTTTGGCAGACTGGCCCTTCTGAGCGCGTATCTACAAACTGCACTTAATTGTTCACCTTAAGCCCCTCCCCAGAACAGAAATTGTCCAATCATAGCTTAGCCAACTGAAGCATTGAAGCAGTGTGTCTGTTGCTATAGTACGAGTACTTATAACACACAGGAGCATTAACTAAGTATTGGACAAATCCGTTTGTTTGTCTACTATAACATAAGCTACAAACGTTAGCATGCATTGCTAACTAGCTTACTGCCCACTGTAGTGACCTAGCATTTTCTCCAAAGCTGAGGAGCCCTTTCATTAGCTAACTACATTACTAAATTGTATTACAAGCTATCCAATCACACATCCAATGTTATGGAGCAAAGATAGTACAGTGTAGGCCAGCATTAACAGTTTTGTCCTGCTCTTTTTATTTTTAATTACAACCGGACATGTTACCTGATGTTTCGCTAACTCAGTCCTCAACTTCAAAGTGATGTGAAACACAGTCTAAAAATAGGAAAAATAAGGTATAAGTCTAATCTCTGTTTTCTCCTAGTAAACATTCAAGCATGGTGCTGTGAGACTGTAATCACATTTTGATTACATTTTTAATAACAATACTGTATTATAAAAAACAGGGTTATGTAATGCTGCTCCTCATTGACTTGACAAGCACATTGGATCAGCAGGTGAGGATGGGTAACTTGATGCCTGTAACATGTATCTTTAGCCTCAGTCTTTCAGCATTATATCAGCATTATAATTATGCACATCTAAGAGTCTTTGACGGGGTTCTCACGGAAAGCTTGACACCTGTAGGAGCAGTAGCAAATGGAGGCTGATTTGTTGTTCCTGTTAGAGAACCTGCACCTCTATCGCTCTTTGGAGTTAACATAGTTTGGTAACCTAAAAAAACCCAGTGTCACTTCAGCCACTGTCAACCTGAGCAGAGATTTAATCAGGCAGAACTGAAAACACCTGTGTGAGCCTTTAGATTCTGACCAGTCTGGTTGGATATAAAACCATTTTGTGAAGAAATGCAGGTCAATTTACTATGATTTTCTGCTTTAGCTGTATTGGCAGGGTTATTGAATGTAAATAGCAACGGTTGTCATTTTAGGTATATTTGGTTACAATTTATTTTATTTAATAACTTTAATAACGTTAATTTTGTTGTTTTACAATTGTTATATTTGGTCATATCAGTGGGAATGTGTTATAAGTCAAATAATAATCTGTTTGTTTATGTTTTCTTTTTTCATTTTCTTTTTTAACATGCAACTTAGATATATGCAAAGATGGTGATTACAGTCTGATCAAGGAGATATTAACAAAAGTACTTTGAGAAAAGGCCCAGAGCATAAGATTGTAGTGGTAAGGTGAAGTAAGACCACTGCTCACATAGTATCTAATGTATCTCATAATGATAACCTGATAGCCTCTAACATTTAAATGTTTATAGAAATAATTTAGGTTGCGTCTTTCTGCATTAATTCTTATTTCTACCTCTAAAGTGAAGCTGATTTTACGATCTCTGTGTGCAGCTCGGAAAGTCAGATGACAGTTTGTTCTGAATGAAGTTATGTTAAAAAGTGAAACATTTAGATTGATGACATTTCTCAGTCAAAGCAGCAGCTTATTCTTTCAGTGGGGAACAAAGTGCAAAATATGTTGTGTCTTTTACTGTAACGGGCAAAAACACCAAGAGCCATGTCACCTAGATACAGTGTTGTGATTTAGTTTGAGGCAGTCGTCATGTTAATAGCATTCACTTCTAGTTTGACTGTTTACATAGTGAAATGAAGAGCTTCACTTAGATTCCTTTAGCTCTATAAGTCCTGTGCTGCTGGAACAACACAAATACACTCACATGTCATCTCCTTATGTGGTAGTAAAGAGAAAAAGTAAAAATGTTGGAGTAAAATTAATTGAATGTCATATTGATATACAAGTAAAAGCAATTCTTGAAATATTTCATGGCTTCTCAATCTGAATTCAGGACGGAATAAAGTCAAATATAAATGTATATGAATGAAAAGTGTTCCTGGTGGTTCTGTGGTTGCACCTGTGGTTGTTTTGCTGCAACATTTTACCTTTACTAAATGTCTTCTGTCTGTCTTTCTGTCTCTCTGTCAGGGTTCAGACAGTGAGCTGAAGGTGGAAAAAGATGGGGTTTCAGACACTGAGGCCAAGGTGGACTCAGGGGTCCCAGAGGTGCCGGTCCCTCCTGATGACACCCCTGAGGTTCTAAACAAGGCCCTGTCCGGACTCTCCTCAAGGTACCATTACTGTAAAAGAGAAAACCAATAACCAGAGCTGTCTATTGAGAATGTGTTTAACAACATGTCTATAAAGCAGAGTGCTGAGCATGTAAAGTAAACTTGTCCTGCATAGATGACAACCAGCAAAAATAAAATAAATACAGTACATGTTTGACACTTGTTATCTGTGTAGAGCTACTAACCTAAACAAAAGGCCCATGTTTGTCCTGGACTTCATCTCAGCACTGCTGCATATGTGGAGGAGTTATGATTCACACAGAGGAATCCCTCCTCACACAGTTTTCTTTGAGCAGCAGATATGAGTCACTCAACTGTATGATCTGTGTTCCTGGCAGAACCAGTGATATTATCAAACTTGGGTTCTGTGTGTGTGAGTGCAGTCACACTGTAGAGATGTTAAAGCTGTAAGTTATGGAAAACATATTCACAATGACACAAACAAGGCACTCTGCACAATACACACAATGAATCAGCACAACACATGGAGGGGATAATGCACATTGAGGTGTCTTGGCGTAAAGAGACATTTATTTTTTATTTTTTTACCTACTCCAAGGAGGTTTTGTTTTCACTTGTGTCTGTTTGTTGGTTTGTTTGTTTGTTTGTTTATTTGTCAGCAGGATTATGCAAAAAGTAGTGCACCGATTTGCACCAAACTTGATGCAGGGATGGGGCACAGGCCAGGAAAGAACCTTTAAATTTCAGAGTGGATCCAGTTAAAGGGGCGAGTGGGTCAAAGAAAAAACATTTTTTTTTATCACTTTTCTTACTATATTGTGAGATAAAGCATTTTTCAGTCCATCAAGAAATAACATTTGGATCTTGATGTTTAATATCAAACTTATTTATGGTGTAAAGATATGAGTTTGGTGCAAATTCAGATATCTGGAACAGGTTGAAAGAACCAGCAGCATGTAGGATAATGCTTACATCAGTATTTCATTCAAAATGCAACGAATAAATTTACACACTAACAACAGCGGTTGCGACACAGCAGTGAGACGAGTCATGCAGCTGTATAAAGTGCATAACACTGACATTTTCTGTTATAAGAGCTACACAGACATGTGTAGGTGTGTTTGGGCTTGGCGGAGGTATGCGCTCCACTCAGTGCCATTCTAGTTCACCTTTTTTAATGAGTTGACATTGAACAAGTGTTTGTTTGTGCTTCCTCCAGATGGAAGAACTGGTGGGTACGAGGCATCCTCACACTAGCCATGATCTCCTTCTTCTTCTTCATCATCTACCTGGGCCCCATGGTGCTTATGATGATTGTGAGTACAAACACTGATGGTGCTCAAACAGCTCTTGAACTTTTTTTTTTTTTTTTAAATTTTTTTTTTTTTTTTTTTTTTTTGTAGCTTTTGTGGAATGAAACACGGTCATTAAAATTCATGGTTCAAAAATAACGTTTAAGCCAAGTTCTCATATATTTATATATTTATATTTAAGATACAGACACAGCTCATTTTCTCACTGAGTTGTACATTTTTTCTTGAGGTTCATAGCTCAACCTCTCTGCAGCTCGTTCTGTGCATCTGAACTTGAAAAATGTAATCTGATGGATTAATGAGATCCTGGCTCTCTAATAACACGCAGGACCGCTGCTCCTGTCATCTGGGAATTCCCCTTGAAATGGGCCTGCCAGCCATTTTGTGTCACTAGGACAGCAGGCCATACACACACACACACACACACACACACACACACACACACACACACACACACACACACACACACACACACACATGCACACACATATGCACACACACACACACAGAGCTCTGATGCTTCATTAGCTTTGCATGTGGTGACACAGTTTCTCTGTGCAGGTCCTCTGTGTTCAGATCAAGTGCTTCCAAGAAATCATCACCATCGGCTACAGCGTCTACCACTCCTACCACCTGCCCTGGTTCAGGACGTTGAGCTGGTGAGGACACCCACACACACACACACACACACACACACCACCCACACACACCCACACACACACACACACACACACACACACACACACACACACACACACACACACACACACACACACACAGTACACAAGTGCACACACAAACAATCGCGCGTTTTTTACGAAGGTGTCATGAACGCAGCAAAAGGTTTGCTTCTTTCTTATTGTTTCATGTTTGTCTCATGTCTTATTTTGTTGCAGATTTCCTGAGGTTTGTTTCCTGACCTGTTTTAATCTTGAGTAGATTGAAGATGATTAAGCCAATCGGCAGAAATACAGTGAATCATCAGCGCTGTTTGATTTTAGCAATAGTGATGTACAGTATAGAGCAGGGGTTTTCATAGTGTGACACGGTGCCCCCCCATCAAATATAATGCTCCTCAGAAAATGTGAATAGTGAATCTAAAAATGTATGTATCATGTTTGTTTGTGCAGATTTGACTGAGTTATGACTCAGTACAAATGTGGGTGCAAATTGTCACTTCTCCGGCTGCGGCCTGTGTTAGTGAGCTGGATGAATCAAAAAGTCAAATGCAGTAACTTCCTGTTGAACACCAGCATGTTCCTGTCCCTGTCACCGCACAAACTATCTTTACCTCACGTCTCTCTCAACGCCACCTAGGGGAGGCCCGCCTCACAGTTTGAAAAGCTCTGGTGTAGACAGGTAGAAGAGTCCTGACATTCACTATGCCTGAAAAACCTGGTGAAGATTCAAAGCATCATGTGCAGTTAGTGCTTTGGAACGGTGGAATATCTTCTTCCTTCATGAAGTTTACTCACATGTTAGATTCATGTCAAGATTATTTCAAATCAATCCCTGCAAAAAATGTGACGTGTCTTTGCAGCATATTACTGTTTTTTTCATATTACTGGTGTTTTTCTGCAGGCATAGTGAATTCAGAGTCTGATTAGCTGCTGTCATAAAGCCGTCACATATGTACATTTGCTCCAACCTTTTTGCCCCACAGGTACTTCCTGTTGTGTGTGAACTACTTTTTCTATGGCGAGACCGTGACAGATTACTTCTTCACACTGGTGCAGAGGGAGGAGCCGCTTCGTATCCTCAGCAAATACCACCGCTTCATCTCCTTCGCTCTCTACCTCACAGGTACAAACACTAGAGGAGACTCGAGCTGAAAGTAAAGGTCTATTCTCGTCGAAGTGAGGAAAGGACAGACATTACTTGAATAACTTCCTGCAGTGTACAGTGTATGATGTATGAGTTCTCACAGTTGTCTTCTGGTGCTGTAAATGTATCATATCATGCCAGTGGACCACAAAGAGATGCATGTATTCATTCAATAGTGACTCATGTCATGTTCCACAATTTGTTTTGGTAAAGTATATTTTACTACATAGGCAGGGGTGTACATGAGGTATGGGCCAAGTGGAGAAGTCACATGATGCAACAAAATACCAGGACACCAGGGTTTCTAATCAGTAATGTCTACGTGTCCTATTGGAACCAGAGGTGTCACAAGGTGATGCAGTACTGAGTGACTGTCCTCAGGGATAAAGAAATAAATACATTTACATTTTATCAAATGATTAGATTAAACTGGTGTTCCCTACAGCAGAGGTCATATATTCAGTTGACTGTTTAGAGTTTGAGTTGATCACACTGCATCAGGAGCTTTCAGGCTCGTCTCAGCTGATCTCAGTGTTTGATTAATTAGATCTTTCCAGAGGGGAAATATAAATAAATGTCCAATTACAAATTGTTCTGTTCAGGAAAAGAGTCATCGGAAATTGGAAAAAGAAAATTCAGAGGTGGACAAAGTGCATAGCTCCATTACTTGAGTCACAGTACACAAACTCCTGTTCAAATAGCACTCCACTACAAGTGAAAGTTGTTCACTCTAATTTTTACTGGAGTTAAATTACTGGAGTACTTGTTTACAGATCCTAAAGACTGAAGCAACCTACTGACTGAACTGACTGTAGAATCTGTGGAGTAAAAGCTTGTAGGATGTGATACAAAGCTGATAGAAATGGTCATAAAAACACAATTGAATCAAAAAAAGGAGCCATTGTCGTTTATGTATTTTTTCTGAATACAGCATATGGCCTATTGCATTTTTCAAAATGACTAAAAGCTCTGCTTCAAAGTAACGAATACGGGATTTCAAAGGAAATGAAACTCAAGGAAAGTACTTAAATACAGTGCTGAAGTACATGTACTTTGTTACTGTCCACCCCTGTCAAAATGTAGAACATCAGACTTTACAACTCTGTGGTCTTCAGTGTTACCATATTAGATTAGATACTTAAGAGTTGGTTATTTCAGAGACACTATGGTAACTGGAGAGGTCCCACTTCCTGTGCAGCAGGTTTTCTGACAGTTATTCAGAACCACTATAGCTGCTAACTGATGGCAAACAGGATGTGGTGAGGAAGGAAGCACCGTGACTCTCTCTGCCTACTAGATTCATGATGAAACTGAATGGCCTGACTTTCTCACTGTCTTCAGTGTAAGATAATGGTGTCATTCCCTCAAGTGCCAGAAAATGCTCAAATCTACAGGACATATTTTTAACATGTTGGAAAAGACTCCTCAGAACGTCTGGTTTGATTTCTTTTCTCCCAGTAAAAGAACTTAGATACTCAGATACTCTGCTCTGCTACATCCTGTCATGTATACAGCATGAAACAAATGGCTGCAGTAACCCTGAGCGTCTCTCTGCACATTAACACTGGGCTCTGTCTGAAATAGGTCGAGCTACATTTAGCCAGAATTTGACCAAAGATGACCTGGATTCTGAATGAATGAGTTCTGACCACGGCCCTTTCATTCGGGTTTTCATACATTATTTGTCCTGCTGTTGCAGGTTTCTGCATGTTTGTGCTGAGTTTGGTGAAGAAACACTACCGCCTTCAGTTCTACATGGTAAGCACCCTGCACCCTGCCTCCTCCTGGCCACCAGCCTCGAGGCCACTGGGTTATTGATGAGGCCGGCCAAAACACAGGCACCCTAGTGAGGGGAGAAGTGGGCCAGAGATTGCTCTAATGGAAATCTCTGGCACATAGTTAATTCCAACTGTGTTCATATAGTGGTGGTGGCCAGAAACACAGAAATCTGCCTCTGCTCTTGTCAGTGGTTTCTTTAGTTTTTATCCTGAGCAGGTTTTACACAAACACAATCATTCCCACCTGACAGTGTGTTTGTCCACAGTCCTCTGCTGTCTGTAAGTGAACACATGAGGAATACAGCTAGTTCTTACTGTCGAGCAGGAACACATTTTCCACTCACATTGAGGGTGTAATAAAAACTATTATCCTGAAACATTTTGTCTGTTGCTGGCACAACCCTTCACTGTGCAGCCACTGTTCATTGTTAACTTTGTGTGGAGGCAGTTCACAGCAACTTAAAGTCATTTTCCTACAGAAATGTCTTACCAGGAAATCATCTGTCTCAGAAAATGTTGTCGCTCTGTGTCCAGTCTTTGAAGAAATATTCAGAATTAAAGCTCAGACATAATAAAGATCAATAAAGATGAATGTGTTTTGAACTGAAATCAAATGTAAACGTGTCCTCGTGTACACATACCTTGTTAATCTTGTGTCTGCAGTTTGGTTGGACCCATGTGACTCTGCTGATTGTGGTGACTCAGTCTCACCTTATCATTCACAACCTGTTTGAGGGGATGATCTGGTGAGTAAACAGTCCTTTATCACCTTTTATACCGTACGGCCTAACCACTTCAGTGTGAATATCATGGCCCCTTCTCTCTGATCATATCTGCCCAGGAAGTAAAATCTAATTATGCTGAAATCAAATTATGTTACATTTTTATGTTAATTTGAACATGTATCGACCATTACATATTGAATGAGTACTTTTTCAGATTGCCTCATCACGGATCTCTTGTTTCATAAAACGTATTTTCATCTAGTCGTAACAATGACTGATGCGAACTCTTCTTTGTGTAAATAGGTTCATTGTGCCAATTTCCTGTGTGATCTGTAACGACATTATGGCCTACATGTTTGGATTCTTCTTCGGCCGCACCCCTCTCATCAAGGTCGGTTTGTAGCGTCAGTCTTTTTAGCTCTGTAATATTTAAAGAGTCCTCTCCTCTCTCCAGTTTCACTTGTAATACCAGGTCAAGTGTGTGCTGTGTGGCAAACATAATCAGTGTCTAGAGATCTGGGTGTTGACTTATGTGATTGGACATATTAAAAGTGTTGCTTTGTACATGGTAATATTTTAACCTGCTATCCACATCTGGACTGTGTCCTCTGCAGCTGTCACCCAAGAAGACATGGGAGGGATTCATTGGTGGGCTCTTCGCCACCATTGTGTTTGGCATCATGGTGAGATATGATTTCCGTTATAGAGAATTTGACCCTTTGTGTTCTCTGCTCCTCACACCACAGTGTCCACATTCCTCCACAAGTTTCTAAGATAATTAAAAGTCCTTCAGTATTCACTCATTCATGAAACATGACATCTGATTGTGTGTTTATATAGATTAATGTAATGTTGTCATATTGAGAGGCGGCTGTGGCTCAGGAGGTGGAGCGGGTCCTCCACTAGTTAGAAGGTCGCTGGTTCGGTCCCCGGCTCTTCCAGGCCGCATGTCAAAGTGTCCTTGGGCAAGATGCTGATACTGATACTAGATCAGCGTAAATGCTTCTAGTGACCGATCACCTTGAAACCGATCACCTGTGGTTAATACTAAGGTGTCTGCGGCTGAGAGAAGTGCTGTGTAGTGTAGTGTAGTCCCTCCTCCCACCTTGTTCACTGCGCCAGTGCGTGACAGGAACTTTTACAAAGTGTGTGAGACATATAACGTATGCCATCTGCAATGCAAGCCAATAATGATCGGTATCGGCCGTGGATCGGTCGATCTCGCGCATAGATGATCGGTTGAGATATATGTTAGCATGGCTGGGGGATTCAGTATCTAACTATCTTTACATAGTATATTTTTAGACAGTAAAAATGCGACGAAGGTTCATCTACATTATAATGTTCAGACCAAAAAGCACACACAAATAAAAAACTATTCAGTGTACGAAGTCATGTATGAAAAGAAACATGAATGCACATTTAGTATATTTTATTGTATATGCTGAGTCCTCTAGAGTCATCAGTGTTACCTTAAATAAATCCACTTCCATCCTGTTTTCACTGGCTGATTACTTCTGCTCATGACTAGTGAATTGACTTTGACATGTACAGTCTGAAGTGGCGTCCAGCAGCTTGGTGCTGTAGCTGTAAGTGATGTAAAAGAGTGATCCTCAAACTTTTTCACATCAAAGACTCCTAAACTGACACAAACCACGAAGATGTTTTATTATAGAAAGTATTCATACATTCTGTCATTGTGTTACTTATGAACGGTATTATAGTGAAAATAAATGATTTCTCTTTTTGCTGGGGACCCCCAGAAACCCCCTCAAGGACCCCTAGGGGGTCCCCAGACCCCACTTTGAGACCCTCTAATGTAGAGTAACTGAGCCATGCTCTCCCTACAGCTCTCCTATGTGATGGCCGGCTACCGCTATTTTGTGTGTCCAGTGGAGTTCAACAACGACTCCAACAGTTTCCAGGTGGATTGTGAGCCGTCTGACCTTTTCCAGCTGCAGGAATACGCCCTGCCCAGCGTCCTGGAGTCTGTCACCGGATGGGTAAGACTCACCTGCAAGTCTCCCTCATCTCCCTGGCTTTATCTCTTAAGATCAGTGTTCTAGTCAAACGGATTACCAAGATATTCATAGTTCATAGTTTTATGGCCAGTAAGAGTCGTGTTGTAAAGAATGTATGTATGTATGTTATTTATATCAGGGCCTTACTGGTAGTTTCAGCTCACAGAGATGATAAAAAGAACAAATCCAGTTAAGAAATGCAGAACTGAAAAAAGAGAAGAAAGAAAATAGGAGAACCCTTTATTAGACTGTCCCACTTTAAAACACTGGCTGTGACATGCTGGTAGCTGCCGGTCTGTTTTATTCTAACCCCTCCCTGTCGTCTCCACAGACCACAGTGCGCCTCTATCCGTTCCAGATCCACAGCATCGCTCTCTCCAGCTTCGCCTCCATCGTGGGACCCTTCGGTGGCTTCTTCGCCAGCGGCTTCAAGAGAGCCTTCAAGATCAAGGTAGAGATGAAGGACGTCATCCTGTCATGACTTTAGAGCCTCAGTCACCAAGCATCAAACATCCAGAGCCGTTCCACTCTCAGTCTGCTGCTGCTGTCTGAGGCTTTTCCTGTTCAGATTTGAGATAGCCTCCTCACCTGTGTTGTCCTGCTTGAACCTTTATATAGTCTTACATAGTCATAGAATATAGTGTGTATTGTGTTTGATCACATACAAATTATTCAATATATGTGTTCCCGATGTACTGTATATATTAACTTATTTTGTTACTGTTAATGACTTTTTGCATGTGTCCTGTCCTTTGTCCTTCCAGGATTTTGCCAACACTATCCCCGGTCATGGTGGCATTATGGACAGGTTCGACTGCCAGTACCTCATGGCCACATTTGTTAACGTCTACATTGCTAGCTTTATCAGGTAAATACAACATCTGTATGAAATGATGACACTTAAACTTGTTGTATTTGATCTTTGCTTTTTGTCAGATTTTGTCCTTGACATCAACAGTTAATCATTTCAACTCTCACTCCTCCTCACTCTCGCCTCCAAAGTTTTTACTACTGTAGCCAAGCTAGTTAGCCGCAGATGCTACAACTGCAGCTTAAGTTAAAGCAGATTAGCACCATTAAATCCATCTGTTACACTAGACTAAACAAGACTACCCTTATAAAGGATTTATAAATGGTTTATAAATATATTATAATATATATTAGGTTATTAATTCTGCTGTTAACACTTTATAAATCATAAATAAACAATCATAAACAAGTTATAACAAAATTCATACATTGATGCAGGCAAGATGAAGTTAATGCTTACTAATTAATCTGATTCATGAGTTACTACCATTCATAACTGGTAAAAGGAGCCTTACTGTAAAGTGTAAAACACATCATTTATTAATGAGTTACTATTATTTGTAAACGGTAAGAGGGAGACTTGGTGGTGATGTGTTTTACACAATAAGTTTAACAATAATTTCATATGATCATTTGATCTGCTATAATTTGATCTGCCAAATGAAACTTTTTGACCATTAATATGGTGATGGTGGTTAATTGTTAGTAACTTAACAAACGTGATGAAGCAGCAGATACAAATGCTGATGATGGAGAAAACAAAGAAAGCTCAGTAACTAATGAGATATGTGGGCTCACTATTTGGCAAGCAACAGGTCACTGTAGACCTTTTTATTCTAATGTGTTATAACAGCTTATGAATGATTTATAACAAGCTAATTAATAAACTAGTTATAAACCATTATAAATCCTTTATAAGTTTGGTCTTATTGTAAAGTCGCACCTCTTTGAGTATACTGCATAACATGTTGAGAAATCCAAGCTTAATGCTCCTACCATGCCTAGCTACGGTTGCTAAGCTATCGCTGACACAGCACACAATCACTGTCTAGAAGAGGGATTTAGTAATACAACGATGTGTGTTTGATTATCTGTCCGCCTTCCCTCAGGGGCCCCAATCCCAGCAAGGTGATCCAGCAGCTCCTGGCCCTCCGTGCCGACCAGCAGCTCCACATCTTCAACTCCCTGAAGGCTCACCTGACGGAGAAGGGCCTGCTGCCAGCGCTGGAGGAGGCCGCCGCCTAGATCCGCCCACACCGGCCTCGCCCTGATAGGGGAGACAGAGAGGAGGGCAGCGCCTGTGGGGTCCGTGCAGCCCTGGAGATCTGGGAGACTCGAAGTGCTTTGAGTGAGCGAGAACACATCTGAGAAAAAACAAAACAAATCAACAACGACAAAGAAAACCACAAATAACTACAGCCTTGGGTCATTCCATTTCATCTGGGTATGAGAGTGGTGTGTGTTTGTGTTCACACAGTCTGTGAATCATGTTTCTGACACAAGTGTTTTCAGGTTTAGTTAGTGAATTACTGTTACACATTTCCATTATAGACAAATTGTATCTATTCACACTGTTGAACAAAACGTTGGTCAGCTGTACATTTCTACCTGTAAACAGGACACCTTCTATATACCAATTAATGTGTTAATATTTTACTGTACATTTTTTTTCTTTGTTTAATGCACTGCTCTCAACCCTGTTACTCACTGTAATGTTACTCCAGCTGCCCTCTCCCCTAAAATTTAAGTTTTAATTTTCTTTGTTGTGATTGTTTCTATTTATACATAGATGGTTTTTATATTTGCTATGTTCTATTATATCTTAAAGTCGTGTCTGTTTTATTCAGGCTGAATTCACTTTTACCATCTGCCAAGTGCATTTATGTGTGTGTCGTTTTTTTTTTTTTTTTCCTGTGTTTGTTGCCATTCAACATTTCAAAACCTCTCGTGCTTGGCCAAGTAATTGTCGTCATGTTATCATGTGTTGTCATGCAGAAATATAAGATGAATGAGGAGGTTACACTGACGTATTTGATTGAATCTGACAGACACAGAATCCAGTCTCTGAGGCGGATGAATCCCAGCTGTTGGTGGTTTTGTACAGTAAGGAGCAGTTTAGCAAAATGGTCTTTTAGTATGAGTGAAGGCCAGTGCGATGAACACCAGCACAATATAGACACACACTCCCTTCACCTGGTTGCTATTTCATGGCAAAAGTGGAAGATAGACAGTCATGTTTTATTTTTTGGTTTAATTGACGTGATCTGTGTTCAGACTTTTTTTTTTATCTGTAACAAGGAGCTGTTATAGGTTTTATACATTTTCAGTGAGGTGGTGAGATTGTTCATTACGGCTTATATTTGTGACATGGTTGGGATGGGACTGTTTGTACCAGTGTACATGAGGCATGGTGATGGTTTCTACACTGCCAGTATCTGCTTCTGTTGTAACCTCATCATGTTCACAGCTTCAGAGCAGAACATGTGGCTACCACTGGTCTGCTCGACCGATTTGGGTGAAACCTTTCCTATAAAGCAGATGGTTATCTTTGTAACGCATCTGATGTTTAAGCTTGCCAATACCATCAGCTGCTGTATCCCCACCAATGTTCATCCCCAGGAGGATTCTGGGATGTGTGTGACACTGGCAAATGTCTGTTTGATTTGGTGGTAAAATATAAAAATTGAAGTTCCTTTACTGTTGGTTCATTTCTGTTTTTTAAGTTTTCTAGAAGAGTTTCTTCCACAGTCTGTAGTTATTTTAAAGGAGCACCTCACCGATTCTTACCCCTAAACATCAGTACTACTCAGACTGTCTGGGAAAATAACCCCGATGATGTCATAGTGATGTCATTACGACTGAGCTTGAAATTTTACCTGAAAGACGGCAATACAAACTGGGTTGTGGAATTTCAAATAGGTTGGGCCTTTATGAGGAGGGTCAAATTTAAAAAAAAAAAAAAGAAAAGAAAAAAAAGTTAATTGTTGAGATGCATTATGGGAAATGTAGTATCCACAAAAAATCAGGTTATCTCGACCTCTGCTCCAATTTTGACAATTCTGTCTCTTGCATGTCCACAACTTTATGTTGGAATACTCCTTTAAAAGTGCCAACACAGTCTGCTTTGTTATTTTAGTCTGAGTTAAAAATGTTTTTATCCTTTTTATTGGGAATATCAATATAATTTGAACTGTTGATTGAGCCTTTTGAACTCAAACCGTAAACAGTAAGTGGAGAGGAAATTCACCTCCAGTTTCCAACAGATTCCAAAAGGCTCAGATTGTTAATTTAAGTAAATCTGCAAATGGTGATTAATTACAAGTTAATGGGTTGCTATGGAGAAAATTAGGGTGAGGGTGCTATACAGAGGCTTAGGCGCTGCAGCAAACACTAAAGTACATCCACTGTACGCGAGTCCAACTCTGATTAGACAAAGCTTTGGCTGTAATCATCCTAACATCCTCTAATCACCTCATCTCATTTGTGCACGTTCTCCATTTTGTTTCTATCCAATCAGATAAAAGAATTTATTTCTCCTTGTCAGTGAAGCCAAACGAACTCTGGAGGTCGAGTGAAGCACTGTAAACGTTAATGTAACCCAGACAACTGTTTCTGTGTTCAGTGTTCGAGGAGAACCAGTGTCAGTGTAGCAGGGATGTGAAGGTTGGGATCTATGTGTCTCCATATGGTCATCATATAAAAACTCACCAGGGTCAGCTTGGAAACCACTTGCCACCTTCAATTTCCTCTCATCAGAATCTGAATCATTAAAAATATAAGTATATATTTTTAAGCAAAGGACTTACATTTTTGGTAACCCAGAATTTGCTTTTGCTCCATTATGACAATCAGTTTAAAGGAGTTGACATCATTATTTTTTCAGACGGTATAAACCACTCTATGAACCAAGCATGGCTTTACATGTTGTTTTCTTTTTGCATCTGAATGTCATTCCATTCATTTCTTCACTGATGTGATTCCATTCTCGTCTCTGTTTTTAACTAGTATGATATCCAACCAGTCTTAACTAGATCTTTCTTACAATATTTATTTTATTTACTGTAAGCAAATCAGACCTTTTCAAAGCTAAGATATTGTACATTTAAAAAAATGTTTAGAGATATGTTGAGTGTTCTTTAGTATTCTTGGTTAGAGGAGTAAATAAGTATTATTATTATTATCATAGTAAAAAACATCAAGATAGCAGAAAACTATTTTCTCCGTCTTTTCTTGCTGTGACTTTAGTGCACTTGGGTGTTTTCTAGGCTATTCCCTGATAGCTGTTGTGTGAACCAACTTCTGTGTCGCAGTGAAGCAAGTTGAAGCAATGCTGCGGATACTTGTAGCGCCGTGTTGCATCGTCTCCTTTTGAATAGACAGGAAGTTTCCTGAGAAGTCTGTGAGGACTGATGTCTCAGCAGTCGTAAGATATCTCACATTTCTCATGCTTCACCGCCTCTGTAATGGTTTGATCTTTGAGGTTTTTGTCCCCCCCCCCGCAGCTCTGTACTGCCATTTCTCTGTCTGGTGTTACACACAGCCACTAGAGAGAGCTGGAGCTTGTGCGGTTGGCTTTTTAAGTGTAATACTGATGCTGCATCTGAGCAGAAAAGGTTTGACCCTTTGTAACTGCTGTTTGATACATTCCAGTGCCCCTAAAATTGAGGTTTGCTCACATGAGGGATAAATATAAAACTATCAGTGCTTTTGTTTTTTTGTTTCGTGGCGCTCAGGAAACCCCTCTGTGCCATTTTTAATCAACACAGTGCCACTTTGCTGTTGTAAATCCTGCCCAGCCAGGACCCTCTTACAAGGAATGTATGGGAGTTGTGACTGTCCCACATCCTGTGTAGGCTCCCCTCTGTGGACAATTTGTTTTGTTGTTATAGAAAAACCTGTATGATTTCAGTATATCATTCCTAAACTGTGCAATGGTTTGTGTTGAGTTGTACAAAACAAAGTGGTACCCTTTGATGCTGAAATGTGCTTCGCCTTGGTTCAGAGAAAATTAAAGATATATATATAAAAAATTAAAAAAAAAAGAATCATGTGGTTGGCTGTGTGTGACTGGCTTCTTCCCTCTCGGTCTTCTTCCTCATTTTGAAAAAGATGCACAGCTGATCTTTACACCTACTGACACATTTTATAATAATTTATTTCTTAAAAGATGGAGAGATATTACAACCAGGAGTCAGCGCATGATCCCTCGAGCTTAGAAATACACCTTTATAAATACTGACTGTCCTGCTGCAGCCTCCTGTCCCATGGAGCTCAAACCGTGAGGCAACATCCTCTCTGAAGGAGTATAAACCAAGAGGTGAAAACCATTTCCGTTTTGAAGACACCCGTTTTTTTGTGTGACACCAGTGAACAGTCATCTGAAAAGTCCCCACTACATTAAGCCCTGGAGAGCTTTTAGTGAATCAGCCTAGAAGGCATTTACACAGCACTCAGAACAAGTATGAACATGGAAGTAAAGGCAACATGAGGCGACAGGTTTTGAAGGGCTGAAAAAAAGAAGAAGAAAAATTAACACACAGGAAGTAGGAAGTGTGATCTGCGATATCTCCAGTTTCCATGTGTGTGTGAGTGTGCGTCAATGTGTGTGCTTGTGTGTGTGTTTGAGTGTGTGTGTACATGCTCCGGTGGGCTGTATGTGTGAAATGAACCACTGACCTGTGTTATGAGTTAAGGACAATGTCTCTCAAACTACCTCGCAACTGGGACTTCAGCACCTTCAAGGCTGAGACAGCTCGGATAGGTAAGCCGGTGACCGTGCTGCATTCACTGTCTGCACTGTGGATGCAGTGCCCTCATACTTCACATTTTAAAGCACTTTACACTTTGGTAATTTATCTGATGCTGTCACCTAAAGCGATGTGAACTGACTAATAGTAAGATAAACCACAAGTGATGGTACAGAGGAAACATCCATAGCAATGTACTTTGGTGTAATCTTTGTGTCTCCTTTTCTTCAAGAATATAATGTTTTTGTATTTTCATTGTATTTTCATTGTATTTTCATTTGTAAGTTCATTGTGTTTATAACTGAGGCACCACCACACTAAATTTTTTAATAATAATTATAGATAATAATTAATGATTTCTCTGCACTGTGCTTTCTCGGTATGGTTTTGAGCACGATGGTGGTTTCTTAACTACTGGTGATTATAACCAACGTTATTTTCAGACCTTTTTATTTTTGGACACAAATCACTGTCCTCTGATATAGAATGAACAATATACTGCTATGATGTAGTTTGACATTTAAGTCCTTTTTTTTTTTTTAAAGTCACTCCCAGTGGTTGAAATAAGACATTGACCAACCTTTGTGTGTGTGCATGCAAACTGCTGTGCAGTCATGTATTTTAAGGTGACTGCACAGCAGTCTAGACTTATTAATACTATGCTCACCAGTGTTTGCATAAGGTGGAATCAGTGCAGTAACATGCCTTGTTTCCTGTCATGCTGGGATGGCACAACAGGTGATAAAAGAGGTTTGCACACAAGCAGTGACTGGATAAACTCTCCACAGAACAGTCCTGCTATTGTTCACAGTGCGCATCATGTTTGCTCCAGCTCTAATCATCTTTACAATCTGTGGTACTGGCTGTTCAGCACTAGCAGTGTGGAAGGAAGTAGCAGCCTGCAGGGCATTTATTTTATCTGCTTCGTGTTGACTGAATATCAGCTGCTGTTACTATCATGCTCTCACTTTCTCGCTTCCTGAGAGCTGGTGACCCACACCTGATGCTTTTACCTTGAGATGCTTGGTGGACCATGATGGATGACAAATTTTATCCCCTGGAACAGGAATGACGCAGGAAACTGATGCAAGAGCTCAGTTCCTGCAGAGCTTTGACTTTGTCACTGTCTGTGTGTAACTGTGCCTACGTATATTGCATATGGGTGTGTATATGACAAGTGTGCAGCACATATTTGCGCACAATTGTGATGCATCTGTCCTTTCATATGATTTTGGAGGGACAACCACAAACCTGTCACAATGTACAGAAATGAATGTTGATTTAACAAACAAGACACAGATTCTTCATGATGCAGTAAACTGCTTTCATACACCGCTTCACACAGGATTAAAGGAATAGTTTTTATTAATAGTGAGAATTTTAGGAGAAATTATAATTTTACTTTTTTTCAAGAGTTTGCATCAGCACAATCACTGACACTGTGTCAGTCACTGCCAGTTACATACTAGCAAACAACACAAACAAATAAAGCAGAGCAGAGCCCCAGTTTTCCTTTTATTTTTCACTTTTTTCACATGTGGGAAAACCATGTTAAACAGAGCAAAAGTGTTTTTATATCGTTTAATACATGTCTGGAGAGGAACTTTAAGTCACAGTTCTAAGCATCTATGCCTTGTATGTCAGTGGGAAACTCTCCACTGTGCCCATCTTGATGTGAAAGTGTTGCCCTTAATAATGTAAATTCCTTTTCATGGTGAGCATTGAACACATCTTTGAGGTGGTGAGCGACTCTTGGCTTGTCATGAATTGAGGCCAGTTTAAAGGACCAGTGTGTTTGTCAGTCGAGGGCGTGGTGTGACAACGACCTCTGTGTGTGGGCTCAGGTTTCCTCAACAGCACTTTAACTTTCCCTCTAATCAAGGGAGGGTAACGCTAGTAAAATTAGACCAAAGGCTTCTTATGCTGCTAGGTGGAGACCTTCAAAGTGTCGCCGGCCCTCCGGCAATGATGTGGCAGCTTCCTGTTTACCCCAGTGCAGCCCTTCTTCTTCTCTTCTCCTCTATCATCTTGCTTAAGAAGACACTGTGAATTTAAGAACAACTGAGCAACAGGGCTCAATCTCACTCCAGCTATCTCTGCAGTCCTACCACCCTGCGTGTTGCTCAGACTATCTCCATCTGACTGTGTCTTCTCCGGGCCACGTACACTTCTGCCTCTGCCCTTTCATCACACTATTAATCCTCCCAACATGGCCTCTCACAGTCACAGAGCTCAAGGGTGAAAAGTGTCAGTCAAGGGTGACATTCTTAGAGTACTAATAATAGGATGGCATTTGTTTGTGTTGGTTTCAGTTCAAGTTAAGTCTACACAGAACATGATCTCTGACCTTTCCAGCTTATTGTTAGTTGTGCTACTTATGTTGAAGAATCAAGGCTGCATTCAGGCACTGTGAACAGGAAACCGGTCAGCTCTGACCAGCAGTTTCCTTTCAGCCTGAATGTGTGGGGAACAAAAATAGACGATGTTGAGCAGGTCTCTCGACCTCGATAGGCTGATGCATATTCATGACAAAAAGGGGAAGTGCTCTGCTGCAAATGAGTAGCGCTGATATTAAGTTTCATAGCTTCGAATGTGACACAGCACGTTGGGGATTGTTGTTCTTGAAATTTTTCTTTTTTCAACTTATGTCTTATGGTGTTTGGCAGCACGATCCAAGAGTGTGATACCTGGAGAGGGAGGCTCCGGCCCGGGCTCGCCGCGCTCCTCCAGGTCCATGGAGAGGCCGCTGAAGGCCGGCTGGCTCAAGAAACAACAGAGGTCTTTAGTCAAGAACTGGCAGCAGCGTTACTTTGTGCTGAGAGGGAGCACACTGACCTACCACAAAGATGACAAGGAGACCACTGTCCAGGTCAGACATTTTAGCCCTTAATATGTAAATATTTTAATTGTGATTTGTTATCTTGTTGTTCTTTTTTTGTCCTTTGTTGGCATAAAACAAGTGCACATTTCTTCCAAAGAAATTCATACAAATTCCACATATTAGAAAATTAAAATGCTACAATGACCTTTTGAATTTGGCACATGCAGTTACTTAATCATTTCTGTTTTATTACATGTTGATGGTCTACTTTGTCTATGGTGGTCTACCACTAACATAAAGTGGTGATCAGATAATGCTCATAAGTACTCAGATAAGTACAAGTTTTTAAGTAATGTTTTTATATGAAATGTCTTGTATTTCCATGGAATCATTCATAGTTTGATAAGAACTTTATCATTTATCATTTCCAATCAACACCACAAACACTTTGCTAGCTGTGTGGCTAACATTGCACACTTCCTGTAAACAAAATGAATGATGTTAGAAGCCACAAAAGAGAGGTCTCCTGGCATTGAAAGTCTTTATTTGTTGGCCTCTTTTAATCCACTGGTTTACACTCAAAGCTGTAGCATTCATCAGCCATCCAGCCAGGACCCTGTACTCTCCGTTATCATTCTGCAGATCTGTCTGTGTGTGATGAACACAAGATCTTGATCCTTTCTTCACATCTTGTGCAAGGTGTGGGCAAACCTCCAAAAAGGCAGCCTAGAGACTATGAGATCATGACGTTCCCATGGTGTCAGCTTTAGCTTCTCTAAGTATAAAATATGAAAAGTTTGATTTCTGTTCACCTCTTCTCTTACATTTCTTCTTTTTTTCTCTCGTACCCCTGATGTACTTCCTGTTAAGAAATGAGAGGTTGGGGCACAGGATGGGAGAGGAGTGTTCATGAAAAAAAAAAAAAAAATTAGATTAAATTTCATTCAGGGACATTGAACAACGACAAACACATGTCCTCTACATCCTCCACCTGATGGATCGGCTCAAATTATTAGGAATCACTCCAAAAGTCGAAGAGTCATTTCTACTTTTGACCTAGATGTAAAAACATAAGAGAGTGGGACAGTGGGTGGAAAATGGTGGATAGAAGAAGTGGGCTGCAGTGCACTGACTGTACATGGTGTAATGTAAACTGAGTGGACTCTAAACCAAATGATTAAAGATCAGCAGGGAGTGTTTTCTTGCCCTCCTCACAGTGTGTTGTACATCTGCAAAAGCCTGTGTGACACAGTTTTGCCACTATGACAGAAACTGTGGTTCACTCACAGTGAAAAACCTGCTGAAACCTTTACTACAGTCACAATACATGGACTATATGTACTGTTAGAATTAATAGCAGCATATGGTCGTCTATGAATGAATTAAAACACTAATGAAAATATTAGTGGTTGTTTTTTGACATGAAGGACTTGTTTTGGTTTTGATATTACACCACAATACATTTCTTCTATGCGTGTGTTTCCTGTTTTCTCCAGGGAGTCATCCAGCTACGGTTCAGTAAAGTTAATGAACTCCCTCCAAACTCAGATGACCCTGGGAAGTACCTCTTCGAGATCATACCACGTAAGCAGATGATTGCCCTTTAGTGTGGAACAAATCTGACTTAAGACCTTGATGGAAAATTTATTCCAGCACCTAAAATGGTTTTGTGTGTAGCAGAGATACATCAGTTACTGTCTTTAGCTATATTTCCTGTATGTCAGTGTTTTTAAACCTCTACCAGTTGTTGCATGTCTCGTTCAGTTGTACATCTGAATGAGACAAAACTTATCTGTATGCTAGGAAGTGAGAAGCTACCAAGAAGTGATAACAATCTCAGTCTTCTCTGCAAATCTTCTAGCAGATTTTCAACATTTGCTGACAGGCATCTATCTCAAGGTTTTCTTGTACTAAGACGTAATTTTTCAATAACACTCATTTCACAGGTGCAACCGGAGACAGAGAGCGATGTCCATATGTGTTCATGGCGAGCTCCCAGAGTGACATGGAGGAGTGGGTGCGCACTCTACGCAGAGTCATTGGAGTACCGACAACTGGAGGTTCAGTAAAATTTTCAAATGTTATAAAAACTGTTTGTCTCTCACTTTTCCCCCCTCATTCTCTCATCAAATGTTTCCTTCCCTGTCAATTCCCCAAAACAGAAATCAACTGATAAAAACCTTACATAAAATAAACTTAGGCTATGTGTGATGCAACTGTCTTGTTTGACTGGACTAAACTTTATGAGAAATTAAGTTCAGTGAAAATAGAGTTTAGGTTTCTCAAACACTATTTATTTTTAGGTTACAAATAGGAAGAAATGTCAATACATACAGCGTGGTGATGAATGAGAAGGGTGCTGTTTAAATATTTTATGTACATCTGTTGCTGAGTCATCACAGCAGTAGCTGCTATATGTAATGACTCAGTGTGACAAAAAATCCCTTAAAGGTGTTGTTTTGGATAACTGGCTTATTCACTGTGAGGTCAAGAGTTAGATGACAAAATTGATGCCACTCTCATGTTTATCCGTTAAATATGAAACCATGCCCATGATACAATTAGCTCAGCTTAGCATAAAGAAGGGAAACTCTGTACGGAGGTAACAAAAAATCCACCTTCCAGCACCAGTCAAGCTTGCTCATTAACATATTACACAAACGTACAAGAACTCTGCTGTTTTTCCAGGGGGTCATGTGCCGGACTATTTCTCAGCCAGGAGCAGTGACTTCCTGGAGTCTTTGCTGGTTTCCTTGCAACCTTATGGTGATGACAAGGCTCCAAGAATTTATTGTTCCCAGTTACGGCATAGTTGGAGACTAGCTAATTCCTCCTGTATCTGGCTAATTAGCTAGTTAATGAGCTAAGCTAACAGTCAATTAACTGCACAACAAGCCATATTATTTGTCTGATATTTGCATGAAAAAATCCTCCAAAAGGCACCAACACCACAACCACGACCGAAATGTCGTGTTCAGTGGCTCAAATGAGCTGAGGTGATGTTGAGCAGACAGCTAGCAGACTGTGATGGCACCCACCTGTCACTCAAAGTGGCCACGCCCTCAATTATGCATAACTTTAAGCCTAAAAAATAAATTCACCCCCATACAGAAATTAGCTATAGAGGCTAAAAGCGTTTTTTGTACCAGGTCGTAAAGATGTTTATTTCTGCTGTAAAGTTAGACATTTTAACATGGCAGTCTATGGGGAATGACTCTTTTGGAGCCAGACTCTAGTGGTCATTTAAGGAACTACAGGTTTTGGCACTCATTTCATGAATTGCCGCTTGGCTTAAACACCATGTAAAAGTGATAAAAATGTGTTGATTTGAATTTTGTTAAATGTTTTCTGATTATACTGATTATTATAATGATACATTACTGGTCTAAGATGTCATGTAATGCCTCTCTGCAGTGTTTGCAAAAAGTCTCATGGATACTGTGACGTATGAGCAGCGTTTTGGGCCTCACATGGTACCAATCTTGGTGCAGAAATGTGTCGAGTTCATTAAAGAACATGGGCTGGATGAGGAGGGCATCTTCCGACTGCCCGGCCAGGACAACGCTGTCAAACAGTTCAGAGACGCCTTTGATGCAGGAGAGAGACCTTCCTTCCCCAGGTAACACACCCACGGTTCCTTCTGCACAGACCAGAGCCATGTGAATGAGTTGATTACAAATAGTCATGAATACACACACAGGTATCGATGAGTAGCAGTAAAAGTGGTTTTGTGTATACAGGACATGTATTGTATATGAAGTGGAGTTATTCACATTGCTGAAATACACAACAAATGTTGAATGTTCATTGGTTATAAAGAGGTTTATTCATCACACTGACAGAGTCACACATCTCATGGAAATTTGAAAGGACCAAAATTATTTTAAATCCTCTTTAAACCCGGCTGGTACATGGCGTGAGCTTAAGAAGGTCACTGCTATATAAGGTGAAAATGCCCTAACCTCAATCAATCAACAGCATCAGCTTTTTTTTTTTCTTTCTGCAAAGCAAGTACAAATGAGAGAGATGAAGATAAATTTCTATCAGCTCAGAGCTGAAGGCGACACCACATCCTGTTCTGTCAGTCACACAGGAGGACGTCTCTGTTACGCAACATCGCAAGCTCCTCTGACAGTGCTGTTGATTAAGACATCCATTTAATTTAATTTTTGTCCGTAATCTAATGTAAATAAAGGCTGCTGAAAGATGTTTTATTTCATATCTCAGGCCAAGAACAAAACAGAGGATACAAGAATTTGTGTCTTCCCCTCTATCTATATTTTGGTCAAATCCAAACAAGACAATTCAACAGACACAGTTGATACAAAACTAGGCCCACACGCCCAAACAACAAATACCTAGAGAACTTTGTCTTCACCACATTAGAATTTTAAACAGGCCTTGTTTATACTACAGCCCACCATATAAATATTTTATACAATATTTACACAGGTCTTATCATAATGGAAAATCACTTGATAAAACACTGAGCTCATTGATACTTGGAGTAAACATTTAGCCCCAAGTTAATAAAAATAGATTTATAACTGTAACAGCCTGATACATATGTATATATGTGTAGAATCCAGTTAACATTGTATCAGATTTAAGCCCAGTTCAAAGGTCGCCATATACAGCATGTAATCAAACAAACTACATGTCTGTGATAACTCATGCAACCAACACTGGCTCCTTGTACTGACACAATGTCTAGATGTGAGTTAAACTCTAAGTGGATGTGGATTGGATGTGTCATTGCCTGCAGTGACACAGATGTCCACACGGTGGCGTCACTGCTCAAGCTGTACCTGCGGGAGCTGCCAGAGCCCGTGGTGCCCTGGACTCAGTACCAGGACTTCCTGGACTGCACTACCCTGCTGGACTACAACAACACAGAGGTCTGTCCACATCTGAGTAAATGCAGACATGTGTATATGCGTGCGTGCGTGCGTGTGTGTGTGTGTGTGCATTAGTATTTTGAGTGCACATGTCCTTTAATCTGTTGCTCCTCTTCAGGGTTGGGAAAAGTTGGAGAAACAAATCGCCCTTCTCCCCAGACTTAACTACAACCTCCTCAGTTATGTGTGCCGGTGAGTAGAAGCTGCAGCACAAAGCATTATGGGAAATTCCAGAGAAGACGCCCTTTGTGGTTAGAGAGGATGTCTCACTAATTGTTCACATAAATGTCCTTCAGCAAGACACTTCAGCGTCCCTCTGGTGAAAAACACTGAGTAAACGCTGCTCTGAGATCAGTTTCTAGTATTGACACATACCTAGCATACATCTCTTAAACATGGTTGTCATGTCTTTTTTTTCTCAGGTTTTTGTTTGAGGTGCAGCAGCACTCCAGTGTGAATAAGATGAATGTGGAGAACCTGGCTACAGTGATGGGGATCAACCTGCTCAAACCTCTGATAGAAGACCCCATCACTGTGATGAAGGGTGAGAGCACACCGCTCACTGATCAACACATATAACAAACGTGTTGCTCCACACAATGTATCTGTGAGGAGCTGAGAAGATGATTAAATGTGTTATCTTATGACCTTAGAATTATGTTTCTGATATTTTGTGTTTCTCTGGCTGCACAGAATCCAAATGATATGTGACATTTTTATTAAGCAACAATGTGGCAATACTGCGACATGACTACATCCTTCTCTTTTTTGGGCAGTTTATTTAGTGAAATAAAAACAGCCTTTAACAAACAAGTCCACACAGTTTAGGAAGGCATGTTTCATCAATTCCACAAACTTCAATATGAAAGTATGAAAAATAACGGAAAATAACAAAAGAAAAAAGTGCAATAGAAATCTAAAACTAATCCAGTAACTTCAAAAGTGAATCAAGAATTTGCATAAGAAGCTAGAGATGAGACATTTTGATCATAATCTTTTCACATTTGTGTTTATTTTTCTTCACAGCAACTCCTCAGATCCAGAAGCTGATGACAGTGATGATCAGACAACACGAGGCTCTGTTTCCTCTCTCCAAAGACGTGCTCCCCTCCCCTCCATCAAACAAGGCCGAGAGCCAGAAGAACACTCCCAGAAGCTTTGTGGGCTGGGAGTCTGCAGAGGTACATTGAGCCTCTCGAAGGGTTTTAATATCCTGTTTTTAAAACAGATTCTGATGTTAGACATTACATAACCAAAATATAGGATGAGGTCAGTGGAAAGAAAAAAACATCAGGATATCTAAAAGACTTTCTGTTGGTGGGAAGAAATTCCCATGTGTCCAATGTTAAAGTGCTAATTCCATCATCTGGATCCATATACAGTCTGATGTGTATTACTATTAGTACCCTCTGGCATGGAGACTAGTAGTACCTGGTAATCTCAGTGCTACATAAAATACTAATTTGTGTGAATATACTGTACCATCATCAGATACTCATGTTTTGATTTTCTTCACTATGTGGATTCAATCAAAGCATCTCAGAAACACCCATTTCCTCATGCTGACAGTTTAATACTCAAGTGTCTATTTTCTTCTCTGATCATAAAGCAGCTCTAGGTTCTATATTAATACTGTGAAAGTATCAAAGCCCTCAGTCCACAGAGAAATGCACACAGCCTGTATTCAGAAATTGAGACTTACAACCAGTCGTCAGGACTTCTGTAAATTTGTGATGTCACAAAAAATAAGTCACCGCTCTCAGCCATGCCCCAAGCCCCGCCCACCTGGACCCGCACTCCAAACCTTGCAGGATTTGGTTTCTCTGATTGTTTACCTGAAATCTCAGTCAATCGCTCAGAAAACAGTGAGCCAGTCAGAAGAGAGCCTCCTCTCTTCTGATTGGCTCACCGACCTGTCGATACAAGAGCTCCAGAGAAAAGCCTGAGAGAGGAGATGTAAAACTACACTGAGATGGTTTTTGGTTCTTAAAACCACAAATATATCTTCTTATGGATCAACACTTCAAATACAACAAAAAGTGTAGAATATGGGACCTACAACTAACAGAGAAAAATCCAAACTCAAAGATGTCACTATTAAGTCATAGTTTATGACAAATAGTTGATTTTTTTTTTTTGGTTTGTCTTTCCTTCAATTAAGTTTATTTCTCTCTCTCTGACTGTAAAACTACCTCTGCACATGAACACTTCTATATTGTATGTATGTCTGTAATTCATCCATTCCTTCCATTATGTGTTCATCTCAGATGGGTGATGCGTCTCTGTCCGAGTCTCCAGAAGAGGAAGAGGACACTGACAGTCCAGGTCCAGGCAGAGAAAACTGCAGCCAGACCCTCCTTCCAGAGCCTGTGTCGCAGTCCACAGACGACTGGCTCGGAAGTCCCCGCAAACGCACTCAGACCCTGCCCAGCTTCAACTGCCCCCTCACAGGGATGGCAGCAAAGGCCGAGGCTCTCAACCGGTGGAGTCGCATCCAGGAGAGCGGGGAGGAGAAGAGCGGGACGTTTTCAGAGGACATTTTTAAGATCCTGGATCTCCGGGGTTCAGGATCGTTGTTTGGGGGGTCTCAGATGACCAACAAGGAAGGGGAGGAGAAGCTCATGTCCCGAAGAGGAAGTGACAGCACAGCTTCGTCAACAGCTGGCTCCCAAAAACCAGACAGTGAGTCCCAGCCTGCCCGGGTGCTGTCCCATCAGAAGAGTGCAGAGACCCTGACAGTGGCGGGTTCAGGTCAGCAGGTCAACAACATGTCTGAGCCGAAGAAAGACAAGCAGCCGCTTGGATACAGGTGAGTTCAGCCGAGGAGACACAGTGACTAGGTTAAAACTAACAACTGACAGACCCTCACCAACCTTCACATGTGCTACTCATTCTTTGATATGACCTTTAAAGGTAACATGAATTAAAATGGAACCATAAAATCAATGTTTTATCAGTGTTGTCTGATGAAAACTTGACTTCTAAATGATCTTCAGGAGCAATTTTTAGCTTGACAACCTGAAAGAGTTCAATTTGTGAAAACTTTTAGCCACTGCAGCTCAAAGAGGAGGATTCAGTCCTCCTGTTCAAACATGAAATTCACCCAGACTGAAGTGAAACAACTGAAAGGTTAAAAAGAAAGTTCATATTCAGGAACTTCTGAGGAAATGAAACACATTCAACATCCATTTTTGGCTGAAAAAATAAAAAATAAAAAAGAGGAGTAGAAAAAAAACAAGTTTATTTACCTTGGAAAATAGGTTAAATAATATCAGTCAACTGCTGTATTTTCAGACATTTAAATTAAGACTCAATATTACTTAGTCTTTTTGGACTTGAGTCATCTGCTAATCAGTGACCAATAAAAGGACATAGATTGTGTCCAGATAGACTAATAGTTTTACTGTGTATCTGAACTCTCTGTGTCTCTGATTGTCTCCTTCAGTCTGCAGCAGGAGAACAAGGAGCTGAAGGCCTCACTGGCAGAGCTCCAGTCTGCTCTGGAGGCAGAGCGCCGCCGTGTGGCTGCTCTGGAGATCTGCCTGAGAAATGCCGAGCGCAGTCGAGACGAGGCCCAGAGACGCAACGAGGAGCTCCAAAGAGACATTCAGCAGTTCCTCGGCGGAAAGAGACAAGCTCCCACCTAACAGTCATTCCCACTCATTATCAGACTCATGAGTATATGGATTTATGACCCTGAACAGAACTAATTTCACAGGAGCTGGTTATGGAAAATACCATCGTCTTCCACTGGGATGGCACTGGATTGTTTCCATCTGAGCTGTTTGGTCCTGAAGATGAATTGTTGGCTCACTTGTTTGTGTCTGTGAGGAAAGTCTTAATTTCACTATTTGCAATAAAGACTCCAAACACAGAACAAATTTGGAAAGGTGGTGTCACTGTATATGGACTTCCTGGATCGTGACTCCCAGAAAAGGAAGCACCACACTTGGGGGATTATTTCTTTGCAAAATTTTAATGTTATTTTGGCAACTTGAAAATGGAAGAATTGAGTTGCCATGGAAACGCGAGGCAGGACAACATCAGCTTAGATTGCACTCCTTGACAACTGAACTGCATAGTGTTAATGGTGGACGATGCAAGTACTATGTGTCATATGGAGTAAATAATCAGCTGATCATTTGATGTGTCATTTCTCTGGTAAATTAATAAAACTGCACAAACTGAAGTGGTTTTTGTTGATGCATAAGATAATCTTTACACAACATACATTATTTTATCTACAGACCAATCAGTGCACCTTTCACTGATGACCACCTTAGTCAAGCAAGAAGCCAAGAGAGCGGAAGACAATTGAAAAAACAATGAGCCTGAAAGAGACGCAGTGAACAGTGTGCTTGTTGGTTAAACCGATACATCAGGCCTTTACTGACAGGCTTGTGGCTCTGTGACACTGTATTTAGCCACGACATGCTGATGTTTGACAAGTATAATGTGAACCTAGTTAATAGTTGCTGGCATGTTTGAGTGTGATCGACTGAACAACGCTAAAGAGCAACGGCGAAAAAGCAGATATGTCTATTATTCACCTCAGTGAATGCAGTTTAACTGTTTAATTAAAGCTGCGCTAATCAATATTTTTCATATTAACAAAAGCTAGAGTGACTGTGTGTAATAGTGACAAACCCACAGAGAGTTATCACCTGACACTGCAGGTCCCCTCAGCTTGGAGCCATGAGGTACGCAGTGTCTTTCAGCTCACTGCTTTAGTTTTACTCTTGTGGTTCACTCTCAGCAACCTCGTCTCCAGACACAGCAGAAAAAATAAAAACTAAAAAACAAAATAAACTGTGTGCTTCCTGCCCACTAAACTAGCCAATGACCACAGAGGAGCTTTTAACTGCCAGATTTTTCCCTCAGGAGTTGGTGACCAAATCAGAGCTAAACAGATGGTAAATTTATTGGGCAGTTAGTTTTCGACATGCTTCTATTCTTAAAAATCATAGCATTAATGAATCAAAGAGGAAAACCATGAAATCTGGATGTCACATAACAGCACCAAGTATCCTCTGTTGGAAGGTTGAGTTCAAAAATAGCAACCCTGGCCTCTTCATAAGTCCTCATTTCTTACACCATAATAGAGACCATATGGTGGGGCCTGATCGTGTGTTTGTGTGTGTGTGTGTGTGTGTGTGTCTGTGTGTGTGTGTGTGTGTGTGTGTGTGTGTGTGTGTGTGTGTGTGTGTGTGTGTGTGTGTCTGTGTGTGTGTGTGTGTGTGCAAAAAGGACATTGCCATTATCAAGCCTTCTTACGGCCATCAGGAAGATGTGATAGTCTGTTGTGGCAGCAGTTTAACAGAGCGACAGATAACAGCACGTCTGTCAACTGTCAGCCTGGCAGATGAGTGGCAGAGGCAGGAAAAAGTTCATTCCTTCCCATCTCTGTGCAGCACCGCAATCAGGAGTGTATCTGCAGGTCACACAAAGAAGCTCAGGAATGAAGGATGGTTGCGTAGTGGGACGAGGGTTCAGATGACGAATCGGACAGTTATTCAAAAATGTAGAGAAGTCAATGATATTCTCATCATCTCAGCGACAGTCCGTGTCACCATGTACAGTATATCCGTACATGCAGTGATGACTTGTGGGATGGCGTCTTCATGAGTCACCCAGTTTCTGTAGCTGTCACATTTCACTTGTTGCTGACACCTTAATCCAGTAGTGGGGTCCTTTAGGGGCTACCTGGAGGTCCCCAGCGAAAAGAGGAATTTTCACTATAATTCCATCCATAAGTAACACAATGACACAATGTGTGACTACTCTGGTCATGGCTTTGAGACACTTTCTGTCATAAAACATCTAAAAGCAAAAATCTTATGACATGGGGGTCCGTGATCTAATTAGTGTCAGTTTAGGGTCCTTGATGTGTAAATGTTTGAGAACCACTGCCCTAATCTGTAAAGTTCTGTCTACCCCTCATGAATGTGCCTCATCGTACGTGCGCTTGCATTTCTAAGGAGCCTCTTGTGCACAGACACTGTCCATTTACCAGAAGAGGAAGTGCACACAGAACATTTCAGCTAGCGTAACATAACAGTGTTGCTTCGTTGAATGAACATGAATGATTATTTTGTGCTACTCCACTACATCATCATGAGCTACTTGAAATGGTCTCAAGACTCCAGAGCTCCATATCTCTCATTCTGGATCATTAAGGCCTCACACCCCATTGCATTTCAATTTCATTTGGACAAGTGTTGTCGAATAGATATATCCTGTTACATTCAACAAGATCAACAGACCCTTGGTGTATTTTGTCAAAAAGAAATGCTCAATGGAGCCTAGACAGCTGCTCGCAGAAGTCCACCATTTACAAAGCAAATAAACAAATGAAGAATATCAACCCCGGAGCACCCACCCAAACAAAATAGCGCTTCCACAAGGAAGAGGCTACAGGACAGTGTTTACAAAATCCTCATTAAGGAAGTTGTGAGATAACACATGTGCATCACACAAAGTTGAGGGCACGCACACACACACACACACATACACACACACACCAGCAAAGAGACCATAAGCACTGAGCAATGCAGAGCCCACCATATCATAGATAAGGGACAGAAAGAAAGAGCAGGGAAGAACAGAGCAGAGCTCAGAGACAGAGACTGACAGAGGAGAGGACACAACAGAGATGAGTCGGACGGACAAAGACAAGCCTCGGCCACCCTGTCACCGGAACTGCCGCCCTGTCACAAAGGACATCAAAAGGTGTGCATGAGAATAAATACTGTGAGATCTGGAGGAGAGCAGCAGGAATACACGCTCCTGCAGAGAGGCTCACACTGGTCAGTGCAAGGGTCAACAACACGACTGACTACTGCCAGGAACCAGAGCTTTCTGAACACTACTTAAATTGACCTTTGGATTAACAGGTCCAGAGATCACAATCATTTTGTCTTATTGTTGCATCAGCTCATTCAGAGACAACCACAGAGGGCATTAAATAGACAACAGCACATTGTTTTTCCCATGGCGAGCATTTGGGTCTCTCAACCGGGAACCATCTGCAGCTCCAAGACTTTGGTTTTGCTGTTTTCCACCCTGCTGCTTCAGGGGCCTCTCTGTGGCAAGAGCAACCCAATCTCAGGCACCCATCAGAGGCATCGCCCCTCTCCAGGGCTGGGAGACGGGCACGGAGGGGTGGTGGATTTGTCTCTGCTGGAGCAGGACGGCAGCGTGGACATGCAGAGCCTGCTGGAGAGCTTGAAGGAACAGTTCCTGCGCACTTTCAACCTGTCGGGTCCTCCGATGCCTCCTGGGAGCGCACGAGAAGAGCCGCCTGAGTACATGATGGAGCTCTACAACCGCTTCGCTAATGACCACACAGCCATGCCATCTGCCAACATCATCCGCAGCTTCAAAAATGAGGGTACAGTTCACTTATTTTCTACTATTTTTATCTGAATATTATTTGTATTTTACTCATCACACTCTTGCCTGCAAGACCAAAAAATAGTGAAACTGGGGGGAAGGTCTTCTTTCATACATTTTTAAAGTAGACTGACTTCAAGCACATACCAACCAGATTTTAATTGATTGAATCCAAGCCTTAGCCACAACCCCGTTCTTTGTTACTTCGCTTTGCAAGGTAATGATCATATGAAAATGGTTCTTTCTGTTTAAATAGAAGTTTTTTGTTTCCCAATTAAGGATGAAAATGAGAACAAATATTCATTAGGTTTAGGTTTGGAAAGAGTTAAGATATATTGCAGGACTCTGAAGACATTAAGAAAGACAATCTGTACAGAGGTTTGACATGGACTTCTTATTTCTCTTCCCCAGATTCATCTCCCAGTGTTGTGGGTGTTGGAGGAGTGAGGCGCCATCCTCTCCTCTTCAACGTGTCAGTCCCCGATCACGAACGCATCACAGCGGTTGAGCTTCGCCTCTACACCCTCGTTCAGACCGACCGCCACCTCTACGCCGGTGTCGACCGCAAGGTCACAATCTATGAACTGGAATCACATGACCTGGATGACAACATGACTGACGGGAACGGCATGAGGGGAGACGCATTCAGAGGGGGAGGGGAGCGGATAGAGCTGGTGGAGTTGGCTTCACGCCAGGTCTATGGCACCGATAACGGCTGGGAGGCCTTTGACCTCACCGCTGCTGTTCAACGCTGGCGCAAAACTCACCACGGCACCACACACCGGTTGGAAGTGCAGATTGCCAGTATGACTAATGATGATGTTCAAGGTGTGACAGAAGACAACAAAGACAAGGATCCACCTGAAGGAGACATGAAGATCGACACCAGCCCTGAGGAAAAACACAAACCCCTGCTGATTGTTTTCTCTGATGACCAAAGCAGTGATCACCGTGACGACAAGCGCGAGCTGAACGAGATGATTGACCATGAAACCTCTAACACAGTTCTCCAGAACGACCTGGGGACGAGCCTGTGGGGTGAGCTGGGGAGGCACAGGGAGGGGGGAGATGAAGAAGCTGAGCCAGACGAAGAGGACCTCATCCAGATGCGCTCCAATCTGATCTACGACACAGCGTCCCGCATTCGTCGCAATGCCAAAGGCAACCACTGCAAGAAACAATCTCTATATGTAGAGTTCAAAGACATCGGATGGGACAGCTGGATCCTGGCACCCACTGGTTACGATGCCTTCGAGTGCACTGGCGTTTGCTCCTTCCCACTGACGAAACACGTCACACCCACCAAGCATGCCATTGTCCAGACGCTGGTCAACATCAACAGTCCTCAGAAGGCAGCACGAGCTTGTTGTGTGCCCACCAAGCTGGACCCCATCTCCCTGCTGTACCTGGATGACACAGGCGTGGTCACCTACAAGTACAAGTTTGAAGGCATGGTGGTGGCTGAGTGTGGCTGCAGATAGTCCATGCTCTGAGAGAGCTGAGCTCTGCGTAAAGTCTTACAGTAGGAGGAAAGACACTGAAAAGACAATAAGCTGGACAAGGAGATAAGCCAAGAATGTCTTCAACAGAGGGTCGACTGTTGGAATCTGTGTAAGGGTTAGAGACTGTACTTCATCTTACACGGCCGAAGTTGAATATCAGTCCCCATCATTTGGACAGTGGACACACAATGTGCCGCAGATCTAAAGTCAACAATAGTGATACCAACAAGAGTAAAAAGGCACAAGATTTACCAAAGGAACAAACCAAGCACATCCTACTGTGTGCGCAGCCTGGTGGGAACTAGTGGGCCGGCTGTCCCCCACCCTCTACTTCCCCCTGACATCTGTCTTCCTCTCAACTTATCTCTGGCCTCCCCACTCGATGCAAACACTAATCAGCGCTTCATGTGTCCTGGTGCAGTGAAATGACCTCCCAGAGGCAACCTGACAAGACATGAACTCTGTCGGCCCACCTCCCGCCTCCTGCGGCCTCCTGATACGTAGGTGCTGTGCAGGGGTCCCGGTGGCAGGGTTATCTTCCCCAACCCTGTTTCCCTACTTCACATGCCTCTTTTCCACTCCCCCGAGCTACAGCGATAGCAAGGTGTCGGCGATTGAGGAACATGTTTGCCACCACTCAGGCTTGGAGAACTGGATGCCATTCTGGGCATCTTTTGAGGTGGTGGGATTGAGGGGAGTGGAACAGGACAAGGGGGCAGAGGTTGACCACATTCCTAGGCAACAAACTATCTTAACTGGCTCAACCCACTGACCTAGCACCACGTGCAGCCAACATATCTTCAACTGAGTCATCCATCACTTTTATGTTAAAAATGGCCTTTTTAATTGTCTGTAAACTAAAACCAAGAGTGGGGGAGGGGGTCACCTTGTCGCATTCCCTTTATGGATCCCTAAAGGAAATACAGTTCTTTTCTTTTGTTATAAGCCTTTGATACCTCTGCTGCTTGTGTCAAATAAAAGACTATTTATTGTTCTAATTTATTAATTTTTACAACAGAGTAGATATATATGTAAATTTGTAAGTTACTTAGGGTAGAGCAGGTTTCGTAACCATGACAACGCATTTGCAGCACAAAATGAATTTTGTTGGGAAGAGAGATGGTAACAGTTTCTACGACAATAAAGAACAATTCATGAATCTCAAATGAAAGGTTGCCTTAAATATTACTCAACAACGGATTCTTACTTTTTCAGTTTACACACCATGTTAAGATTGACTAATATCAAGATGAAGATAAATATTTGGAGTTAAAATACCAAACTGACATTGTTTTTCATTTGTTTTTGTACATGATCTCCTTTCCACTACAATTAATCAAAGCAACTCGGTCTGTGGCCTTTCTTTTCCATTTTTAAGGAAGAAGACCAATGATATAATGCACTGCTCACATTCAGATCAGTCGCTCTAACAGTATCAGCTTACAGGTCACAGTTCATACATGACACACAAACAAAGAACCATGGGAAACTTGAGTGGAGGATCCGCTAATGAACAAAATGGATGGCCTGCTGCTCACGTTGACGGCGAGCAGATGCAGACAAAGATCTTGGACTCGTATCTCTTTCTGTTCTCACTACGTTTTCTGTGAGTGTTCAACCAGATCACAGGAGCAGTGTGTTGTTGTTTCCATGTACCAGTGGACACTGAAGATGTAAATAAAGGATACAGATCAGATTCATCCTCTGAAATGTGTGAAACTTTCTATTGTTTATTTGTGGTTAGGAATGTGTGTCACATTGTATGAAAAGTGAGACCTCAGGAGGTGAGGTCAAGGAGGAAAATCAAAGATTAAGATACAGACAGACAGTGAGATATAGACAGTGATGTACAGATTAGATTGTGACAAGCATGTGAGTATAGAACAGATGTAAGAGAAAACATGGTCTGCAGTAAGTTAATACTGACTCCTTAATCTACCTTGGATGCAGTTCCACATATTTGCTCATTTGCCTTCTTACCTTCAGTCAGACTGACACCACTCTCATGTGTGTATGTTAGATATGAGGTACATAAAATTAATTTTTTTCCCTGTTTTCCGTTTCCCAGTCTTTGTGCAAAGCTAAGCTGACTGTCTCCTAGCTGTAGCTTCAGAGTATACCGACAGATATGAGGCAAGAAAGCAAACACTATAAGCACATTTCCTTAAGAGATTTTTGCAACAGTTGTATGTCTCGGGCAACTATAACTAATACAATAATAATGCCATAGAATCCTAAAACCAGGAAATGAGGTAGCATTTTAGCACTTCTTCTCAAAGTCTATGGGCTTTTTGAATGGGTTTTTGGTGAAATGACTGAAACAAGGTCTATGGTTAACACAAGCTCAAAACAGTGTCACATTTTATTCTACAACATAAAATATGTGAGTAAATACCCCAGATTTCTTTACACTCTTACTCTCTTAAAAAGGCCAGTTGCTAACAAGTTGCTAACAAAACCAATCTACCTACCAGTCCACCTTTACAGCCTTGTTGGGTCTATACTCTGCACTTTTGCAAATTATTACTAACTTTGTAAGAGGAAAGGCTTTTGTAGAAGAGGTCAGAGCTAAATCAAACTACAAGTTGGAAGTTTAGTGGTGGTTACGTTGAAGTCATGCGACCGTGGTGTAGTTCATTTATAGCCTAACATTAGCTTTTGTGTATTTAGGCTTCAAAAATCATCTTACAAACATGTAAGTATCATGAACTTTTTTTTGTAAAAGAGATTATTTTCTGCAGTAATCCAAAAGCCAATGGAAGAATCCTATTGTATTTTTTTCCAAGGAACCAGTGTGACGTTAACATCTGGGTTGGCCTCCAAAAATACGTCATTCCTGTCACACTGTTACAAAAATAATGACTATGTATTGCCTGTGTTACCTCCTAAGTGTCCAGCTTTGACAACATGGTCTAATATGTTGACTGTGCTGTACATACACAGATTTCACATTTATAAGCAGCCAAACAATGTGTATCGTAGCCGAAGTTGCAGCTCTTGAATCCTGTTACAGTAATGTTTGCGGCTTAAAGCTTCCTCAGAAAAAGTCTTTGGCAACAGCCTACTAATGACAAGTGCAGTGAGATGTTTCAGAAAGCAAACAAGTTGGGCACTGACTGACCTCCCATGTAAGATGGGAGTGAAGGTCGTCTTAAAACGGCTACAGACCAGAGGGCAAGAAACTCGGTTACTGTGACAACAGGCAGCCTCGGCTATATCAGGCTCACTAATTGGATATTTACAGAATGGTGGAAGAAATATGAATCTGGCCTTTGTCACTGAATGGAAAACATTCAGGAAATATGAATGGGAAATCTTTAGTATTTGCTCTGATGATAAGTATGGCTGCAGAGTGCCCTGTGCTTCCTCTCTCTTTTGTTTTGACATCTCAGAGTTTTATTCTGTCTGCTTGTTGTTACGCTGCACAGTTTGTTATGGCTATAACCTTGGTGATTCATTCAGGGGACAGTTCCCAATGTACAGACAGTGCTTCAAAAATGCTCCACTGACTGACAGCATGATGTTGGCTGCAGGATGTTGACGTGTGTCTCGCTGTGAACGTGTGTTTTGGTGTGTCATCCAGAACTGCATGGCTCGCCCTGACTCTGACGTGGGGTCTGTAATAAGGCCTGATTGTTTCCGGTTTGGGTCACATTTATCATTCCATCTCTTGGCAACACCACCACCACCCAGTGCTTATTTCTCTCTCGTTCCTCGACTTCCCTCATTTCCCAGGCAGAGCAGTTTACACAGCCACTACATTATGTTCATATGAGCAAGTACCTCAAAATGTACAAGCACGTTTTAACAATTTACAATACACTCCGATGTTGCGAAACTTCGAAAAGCCTATTGAAAGAGCCTGTAATGAAAAGCAGATGTTCGGTGTCGTGAATATGCAGGCCAAGTTGTTCTTACCATCAAAAGGATTTCTCAGAAAAAAATGGTTGAAGGCAAGTCAGGACAGAAAAACAGTCACTCTTCATTGAATTCAATACTTTAACTTTTCATTAGAAATGCTCAAAAAATATGTTAATAGTTATCAAATCAGCAGCTGCCTGTGAGTTAAGTCCAATTTATGTGTTGTAAAATTATGCTTAGAAAGACACAAGAAGTGAATAATGATGAATAATGAGAAAGAATACAAGCTTGTTAAGGCCCCACATGGTGAGTCACATGTACTTCACCTCTGATGAAGTACATGAAGCTTGAGCAATCTCATGCTCTTAAGTATCGTTCTTTTGTGTGAAAAGAACATGAGCACTGAAGGAGATGCAGATCCTGACATGACCGCAGCTAACTCTGAGGGATGATGGGATTTAAAATCTGTTCTATATAAAAAAACAGGTTACACCTCAAAGGTGTCTGATTTCTAAAAAAAATAAACCTACATGGCTTTGATTACTTTATCAAATCCCTGTGGAGCAAATCAATCGAGACAATGAAATACAAATCATCAAACACAGCAGTGCAACACAAGTCTGAACCTGAGACGAACAACAAAGCACCAGTATGTGTCCTGCTTTTGTATATTTTCTCACGCTCATCAAGCCCACATTGGTTTTATTTGGAAAAACTTTACAACCATGTGTGAATGACCAAATATAGCACTCAACATGATCATTACAAAATACTTGTACTAGTGCAAATTAAACATTACATAACAGCTTGGGCACAAATATGTTCACTTTAAACACATTTTCATATGTTATAGTATAGTATAGTATGTTGTTGTCCAACTGAAATATTTAGATTTTGTACCCCCCCCCCCCCCCCCGTTTCCAGTCATTCTGCTAAGCTAAGCTAAGCTTCAATTTACTGTACAAAAATGAGAATGGTGTCTGTCTTCTCTAACTCTTGACAGGAACGCAAATAAGTATCCAAAATGTCCATCTATGCCTTTGAAATCTTTTTAGTTTGCCTTTCTCTTGACTACACACATTATCAGCAATGACCAAAAGAAATCTGTCACCCATCAGCTGCCTCACACCTACAAAAATATGAAAGCATACAATTCCATTCAAACACACACCCATGTCATGAGGTCAGTTGCACATTAGTTCAGGAAGTTTTTCATCCCTGTGCTACATTCACTTGCCAAGGACAAGCCATAGACATGATCTTCCAAATACCATTGTCTGAATTCATACCAAGTACCAAGCACTGCTGGGAGCATGAGACTTGTCCACAATCTTAGTGAACTATAACATGTATAGTCCTGTTTAGGGAATGATTCAGTATACTTATTTCAGATACAGTCAGTTACATTTGGTATTTTGTGATCACGTGTCTTAAAGTGCCCGTGTGCCTGTGTTTGTCTGTGCCTGTGCATTTTAGGCCCCCAAACAAAGCTAATTACAGCTGAGGCCGGGAAGAGTTTGGTTAGTTTTAGCCTGTAGCTGGGCAAATTCTCTTTGTATATACAGTAAATAAGTGATGCTGCAGGTTTACTAACATCTTGCTGTAATCTTTGCTGCAGGATGTTCATGCTGTGCTTCAGTCCACGTCCATGTTCCTGATCGGATTTAGGCTCAAACATGTACGGGTGAAATGGAAGTTCCATTTCCAATCAATTATGTTACGTTACATAGTTTTACAGGTATCTCTCAGAACCTCCACACTGGTTAGAGGATGATGTAGTGCTCTCAGCGGCTGTGTGTGCTGACTCCAGGCAGGCTTCCAGAAGTTCTGCCAATCAAAAGGAAGTGGGCTTTTTAAGGAGTCCCAAGCTAATGCTGCCTGTTTCAGTGAGAGGCTCAACTGGACTTCATAGGAGGCAGAGACAGAGATGAATTAAGACTTTTGTTAACCATGAAAGAGTCAAAGCTGCTCTAGTGGAGTCCCAGAATAAAAATGTAGAGCTTGAAATGGGTATATTTCGTACCTCAAATATGTCCCCTTTATGTCTTGTACAATGTCTTGTATGTTACTGAAATGTCCAAAGTGAATGTTGATATATCCCTTGTTATGTGTGCATATGAAAAGTTGCTCATGAGTAAGTAAAATCTGCAGAAAAATCCTTCAATGCATCTTGACAGTTAGATGCAGCCTGAATATGTAAACTCCCAAATTGCTGCATGTAACAGTGTCATCACTCTGGATGTGAATCCAGCACTCATGCGTGGTATGTGCCAAAGAGGTGGTCCCAATGGGTAAAGTAGGGAGCATAGTTGCTGCTGTACAGGCTATGGTGGGCTTGGTGGAAGGGGGCTCCTCCCAGAAAGGGCAGCAGTCTGTGCAGAGCCCAGGGCAGATTGTAGCCACAGTGGTCTTCCACCGCCATCCAGCTGTTGAGGAGATGAAAGAGGACTTCACTCAGAGGGTGGCAGCCAACCACCCAGGCACTGCTCAGAGCCAGCAGCAGCAGAGACAGCAGCTCAGCAGAGCTGGCATCCTGGGCTGCAAGGGCGAAGGGTGTGTGGTGCTGGTGGTGCAGCTGGTGGATGTTACGGTAGAGCCAGGGAACCCTGAAGAGGAATAGACAAACAGCTGCCTCTGTTTATACTGTTACCGTAATGGAAAAACACTAGAACATTCTCAGAATATTGTAATGTCAGTGTCTCTGTGGTGGTCTATTAACTACAAAATGAGTTCTACTACTTCTATTAGTACTACCACCAGCAGTACAACGAACAAACAGCAACTCTCAAAACACACAGGTTCAGATTAAAGGGGAACTTCCCCCAAATTTACACATGGACATCAGCTTCCTCCTCCCTGATGTCATAGTGATGCCTTTAGGGTTATCTCAGAAAAAATGTTAGTGACTTAATTAGTCTGGACTAAAAGTCAGGATATCTCAGCTTCTTCTGCTGCTTTAGTGTTTACAATTCTTTTCTTTTTTTTGTACTGAATCTTGCACAATTCATCCAACTTTATGGATATAGAGTGTAGGAGCCATTTATTATGTCTATGTGTTTATTGTTGTTTATAGGTTACGTCAGGCCATATCACGGGTGGTAGTAGTAGGTGGTAATGGCAGGTGGAGTCTATATGTGACATGGGTGCAACAGACGAGTCAATAAGGCATGGGCGACGAAGAGATTGCACGGTTTTTACGCTTACGCGCCCGACACAGGAAGCCAGCCATTACATCAAATTTCACCTTTGCAATAGAAAATACTGTTAACCGAACTTTTTAATAAAGGAGAAGAAGCGCGTTAAACCAAGGTCTTCTCCCGCACCCAGCCGGGTGGCTAAAATCAGGTCAGGATAGTCACCACACACAGTACTAAATCTGGAGTACTCTTTTTAAAAAGTGCATATTATATACCAAATACAATACCAGAATCTCCATCAGTCTGTCTATAGTGATGTGTAATCTTCCTATAGTTCTTTCCTATAAGAGATAAACCTGATTGATGTGATTGTGAAATAAAAAGTCAACTGTAAAGTAAAAAAAAAAAAAAAAAAAAAAAATCAAATCTACATTAAGGAACTCTAGGAGCTATCTTACCTTATAAAAACACAGTCTGTTGTTTGCCATTGTAATCCCATTTAATGTCATTAATCAAATCTGTGCCTGGCCAGGAGGAACAGATCTGTCATTGTCCCACACAGTTCATCAAGTCAGATAATCTGTTCCTCATAAACTGGAGATTTAGATGGAATTGAACCAATTATTTAAGTGTGGAGAAGTAGTACATCATTCTTAAATACCAGTGATGGAAGACATACTCGATGCCTTACTTACGTTAAAGTAGAAATACCACAGGACAGAGTTTAATATACTTTATTACAAGTAAAAGTCCTGCTATCTAAAATCTACCAAAGTAAAAGTCTGTAATTATCCTCAATAAACTTTACATGCATTACAAAAGTAAAAGCACCCTCTATGCATGTAAAATCATTTCTATCAGAATGTTAGTGTGTATTATTCTACTGGATTATTATTACTGATGCATTAACATGTAAACATCATTTTATTATTGCAGCTGGAGCAGATTCTGGATATTTTTCACACTGATGGGTGGTCTGATTTTCTCTTTGACAGTGCTCTGTGTTATATAAGGTCCTAAGGTTTTCAAAATGTCAGTATGTGAAGTAACTATCACTGTGAGATACATGTAGTGGGGTAAACATGTCCCTCTTAACTGTAGTGCAGCAGGAATTGAGAAATGTAATAATATTAATAAGACCCGCTTGGTTGGGACAATGGAGTGAGTATTAACACCTTAGACTGTGTGTGGTTCAGGTTGGGGATTGTTGTAATACTTTTGGATCAAAGTTGCCAACAGCTGATATTTGTGTGCAGACTCTTTAACAGCAGAGTGAAGGTGATGCTAGTTCTAACTCAGCATAGGCGCGCGCTGCTCACCTGTGCATGGAGAAGTGCCATATGAAGAAGAGCATGTCAAAAAGCAGAAAACACGCGAAGACTTCCACAAAGAGCTGCCAGCAGGACGGAGCCAGCGCCGGGAACGTGGGGCTCCGCAGGGTCTGGAACAGCGCGGTGGCGGGAAGGACGATGGTCAGGTATTTGTACAGCACCCTCCAGAAACAGTAAAACCACCGCCGGATAGACGGCGGCGATCCCGAGCCCGCGGCGATCCTCCAAGACCGGACCTGCTGACAGACGCTGCCCAGCGCGTCCAGCACGAGGAAGGGTGCGCAGAACAGGACATGCGTCAGCAAGGCGCAGAACGCAGGCAGGTAAGGTGACAGCAGGATTTCCTCCTGTCCGTTTCTCACGTGCTCCCACAGCCTCTGGAGGACAGGCGCGCATACCACTCCATGATCCATGGACGGTGTATCCATCATAGCTGTCACCTCTTCAGCACGACATCCTACATGTTCTCACGTGTGCTTTTCCTCACAAAAAATAACAATTTTCAGAAAACAGCAGCTGTTATTGTTCCCCTTCAGAGTTAATATAGACTCGTGCGTTATGTGTCTACACTTTGCATGTGTTGCAGAAGTTCTTCTCTTGATAACTTCTTCCAAAAAGTCCTGGAAAAAGGTGATTTAGGTGTTTTTTCCTCGGCTGCTGTGCCGCCTCTTCCTGCAGTTGGACAAAATCTTCTTTTCACTCCGAGGTGGGAGGAGCCTTAGACCTTAGCCTTAGACCTTATCTAAATAAAGCGAATTGATATTTCGTCTTTCATGTCTTCACTATGTCTTTACCCGAAAAATGCGTCACTGTATTCTTGGAGTAACAACCCTTACATGTCACCTGTTAGCTATGCATAGCCACCTACTCATGTTGCTGGGAATATGGGGGATTTCTATGGGATGAACTAACTGTTATCGCATGTTTGAGGACATCCTCGGGATTAAATGATGGAATCAGAGAGGAACTGAAACAAATAGTCAAGTGAAACGATGAAGATGACGAGGTCAGGTAATGGAGGTTTTGCCGTAATGAACTTCTCTAATGATTCATTCCCTTATCTATTCCCCAGTGACTTTTGTTATCTACGATAAAGTCATCCAATTGACAGGAACCAGCATTTTATTATTTTTCATTTTATTCCTTCTTTGTTCGTTACTTTGTTATTAATAACTCAGGGCTTCATGTATCCCATTGTGCAGTTTCCCCTGTGAAAAGTCTCAAATCTTCTTTTTTCTTTTTTTAAAAACAATATATTAGAAACTCTAGGGACATAAAAGACCTTTAAAACATGTATTCTGATAAGAGTACTCCATTGTTCCATGTTTTGTAATGTACTGTAAATCTGTCCTTTAGAACCTGGAAAAAATACTTTTCATTTCCATGGATTCAGTGGAGTTTGTTAAATGAATTTATAATGGCAAATGCAAATTATAAAAAAGTTTTCATGGTATAATTATGAGTTAAGTGTACTTTTTTCAACATTCAAAATAATCCGGTAACCAGAAGATTTACATAGTGTAAGTTTTGTTACTTATTTTCCTCCTATATAATCACACTGCGCTTGCAATGTAAATAAAACAATCTTAATAGGGCCAATGATTTCTAAAGATTAACCCATAGTACTTTATTGTCATATGACAATATCTTGATTTCACATTTAATATCTTAATTATACATACAAAATTGGAATCAAGGACCAAATCAGTGCAAAACATTTGCCTTTCAAGTCATTGTAAATCTGAATTAGTCTGAGAAATTATAATCAAAATGAGTCACTTTGAGGGCTGACTGGAGCGGCTTTCGACAGCAGAGAGCCGTGAGAAACACGGAAAAGAATGACTGTTTGATCATGATAAATGGAAGTTGTATTGGGTCACAGTGAGTTAAAGACAAATGACATTTAGCTTCAGAAAAAAAAGATTTTCTCACTTGCAAAAAAAAAACAAACCAAGCTCCCTGAATCAATGAAAAAACAATGCCCCACACCAAATTTGGAACTACCTTGACAACTGAGTCAGTTCTCTCCACTGTGCCAAGTGGTTCTTTGGAAAACACATCATTTGATCGCTCGCTCATAGCCATGCTTTCTGCCAGCCCAACAACCTGTTTCTGGTCCAGATAGTAATAAGATTTTATAAAAAGGGTTCTGAGGAGTTGACAGTGAATAACTGACTCCTACAAACTCAGATGGCAGTGACTAAGACCTCTTCCTCCTCATATTGCTAAAGACTCATAACTGTACATATCCTATAAAGGTTCTTACAGGACATACATGAAATGGTTTCATTTAGTAATATATATAAAAAAATCTACATTCAGCTAAAATAGCAGAATGTAGCTGATGTCCTGTGTCAGAGTCCAAAAGCTATCACATCCAAACATGACCTTCTCCAAGTGGGCGCTGTTTAGAATAAAAATCCTGAAGCAAAACAGATGAAACAAACAGTTTCAAACAGCACAAATATAGTCTTCACTAAGGGTACAGTGTGAAAAACAGTGGTTCATATACTGTATATGTTTATAGCAAAATGTGGTGCAACTTCATGCAGTTGCACAAATTCAATCAATATTCAATATGTCCTCTGTGCTGAAAAGAAATTTTACAAAAACATATAAAAACAAACAAATGGAGTGATGATGTTACATCTGATAGCCACAAAGTACATCCATCTTCCCTGCAATTTGTTTACAGTGACATGTCTGGTCAGGGCAAGTATTTTTCAAGCTGTTCAGAGTAAGAAATCACAGACCACCTTCCTCAGAGAGACCCATATTTGGTCTTTTAAAAGTAACATTTTAATAATTTTCTAATCTAATCTTGTTAAGTCTTTGTGTGCAGTCTTTGTGTTTGTTCTCCTCCAGGATTTAGGCGCTTCAGAGCTGCCCTGCCCTTGACTTGTGGGAATGTTGAACATGTAATTAAAAATTAAGATTTATATAAAACTAGATTTATTGGATTGTTGGGCGTTTTTTTAATCCTGGGATTAAACTCCTCCGTTTACAAAACTTTTTTGAATTGTTGTTGCAACTGACTGATCCCTAATCTCTTCCGATAAACTGTGATTATCCTTTCGTGGTGTGCAAGGTGGATGTAGAAAGAGTGATAATCTGCATTTAAAGAGTCAGAGGGATGGTGTCTTTTTTAATCACCTTTTGAAAACTGAAAATACAAGAACAAAATGAGTTAGAACTGATCAAACAGTGTGTTTACCTGGTGTAACGTAGGCTGCAACTGGTTAGCTTGTCTGGCTAACATAGCTTTACTTCCAAGGTCAAGAGTTAGCATATTAACTAAATACATTATTCTGTGAGGTTAAAAAAGTAATTATTTTTTTTTTTTTTTTTTTTTTTTTAAAAAGCCTATTCACAACGAGCACATCTACTTTGTTGTTTACCCCTCTGTGTCAAAGCTGGTCCTGGATGCTATCAGAGTCTAGGCTAATGTTAGCAGCTCTTTCTTGCATTTGGTGAAATACCTGCAACTCGAGCTAAACTCAGTGTCCAGGTTAGCATTGCGTTTGTACCGTTAGTCCTGGTAGGCCCTCATCCCTCATCCAGCTGTATCTCTTTGAGGGAATACTATGAAAATATGAGTAGCTGAGCAGCAGAACAGGATTACTCATGTCTGTAACTCACTGACTCATTGACTTGATGAATGATAAGAGTTGACTGATAACTTACACCACTGATCCAAAGAGTTTCCCTATTGGACAGGTTCTGTTAGTGGAATTTTACAGCCTGCAGGGTTACTAACTTGGTGAATTTGTTGGTGGTTTTTTTTTTCCCCCCTCAAAAAAGCACTTGGGAACAAACTTTTGCTCCTTTCCACAGAAAAGAGCTGCCTGTAACGCTGACAAGCTCTACTCTGCAATATAAAAACAATGCGGTTTCTTTATTTCCATGTCTTGTACTTGAATCATCAACTGGTGACAAAGCTGGCTGTTTACTGGAAGATAGCCTCAGTCTCTTTAAGTTGATATTATTTGTGGAGCCATGAAGTGCACATTAAGAGATCCTTTTTACTGGGTACTTATTCTTATGAGTTACATGGAACTAATGTTAGCTGAATCCATTAGCTACAGAAATACTGCTAGTGAAAGTGGCTGTTTCAGAATCACAGGTGGGAGGCTAGAAATGGGAAACCTGCTTTTGTCTACCTCTGTCTGGAGTGTTTACAAAATGACTAGCAAGAAAGGTGAAGCAACAGTAACTTGGAGGGATGAGACTTAGCGAACGGTCAATTCATATAACGAAGAAAAACTGTGACTGAATTCATTGCACCTAAAAGCTTGATTAAGATGATTAATAATTACCCTGCCACTGAACTTGATTAGAAAATATTTTTGCGTTTTATTCTTCAGAACAAATGGTTGCAAATATCAGTGCATCAAATGCTCAATTGGGACACATTTCACATAAAGAGATAACACAGTGTAAGCACATAAGTAGTAATTGATTTGTGATCTGTGACGTTGTGACTGGGTGCACTTTCCACACAGACTGTTAAAGCTGAGCAGCAGTAGGGACAATTCCTTTAAATTATTGTTTTGGCTAAATGTCAGTTTTAAAAAGGATCTTATCATACACCCACAGGTGATGCTATTTAAAGTAGTTTTTGCTCCATCTAATTTATAGTTCTGAATGCAAATGATGGCATTTTCTGTCAGAAAAAACAGAGGTATGCGAAGCCTCAAAAATAATTTGGGTCCTTTAATCTGAGGTAGAAGATTTTGACTTCCTACTCAAACTGTCAAAGTGATTTCTAGCAGTGATTCTGAGATGTTTGAGAAATACAGGCCCTGGTCAGCAGAGCTTCTCTGGGCCAGAGGGCGAACCTGCAAGCCAGCCAGCCTGTGGGCCAGGCTACTGCCCTCCAGCAGATAGTCCTCCATCCCTGGGTGGTCCTGTGAGTCCCATTATTTAATCCAGGTCCAGGATCTGCTCACCCACAATGTCCATGGCTGCAGAGGCTTTTATGGAGCTCCCTGCAGAGCCAGAGTCCACAAACATCTGTGGTATGTCATTCCCAAAGTAGATTTTGCTGTTGGCTGCGATGGCCTTGTACTTCATGAGCTGCAGGTACTCTGGTGTCAACTTCAGCTACAAGAGGGGCGACAGAATTCAAATTACAAAACAAAATGTGTAGAGCTCTTTGTCCTGGCTAACATGAGATGGGGTTTTGTGTCATCTCTTTACCCTGTTGGCCTCGGCAGTTCTCTGTGCTGTATAGAACTCTGCATCTGCCCTGGCTTTCTGCCTGGCCAGGAAAGCGCCGTCTATAAATCACAAACAAACACTTTCAAGAGTCAACAGCAGCAAGATGGTTTGTACAGTTCGCTCTGTTTTGCAGCTCAGAAAGCAGGAAGGAGCTTTGAAACAAGCAAGATCCACTTTAACAGCTGGTTCCCGGCTCCAACAGCAGACCAGTTCTCAAAACAAACAGGGCTGTGGAATAAGCACACTTACAGTTTTTTACGATTGCTTATACACAAAAATGAAAAATAATGCACAGATTTTGAAACTCGATACACAAAGAGCAAAATGTCAGCCCAGACTTGCACCACTACATACTACATCCTCGGCTGCTTTCTGCAAAACACCAAACACACTTCTCTACATTAGACACATCATTCAAAACTGAAAGCCTTTCTGTGTTAATTGCTAAACACTGCTACTGAAACACCACACTCAATTAGCAATCACCTGAACTCAGAATGCACGTGTGAAGACACATGTAACCAATCAGATCAGACAGAAATCACAGGGTTTTCATTAGCTGAAAGCCATAATCATCAAAATGAAAAGAAATAAACGCTTGAAATATTTCACTCTGCGTGTCATGAATCTATATAATATATGAGTTTCACTTTTTGAATTGAATTACTGAAATAAATTAACTTTTCCATGATATTCTAATTTATTGAGATGCACCTGTAGGAGTCAGGTTTGCTCTTCGGTGTGCACAACAATGGAGGACAATTTTGGAGAAAGAATTAGAGGAAGAGGTGTAAGAGGAAGAAGAGCAGGAGGAGAAAGAGGCAGACCTGAAAGAGGAAGAGGAGCAAGAGGACACAGGACAGGGAGTGGCGAGAGGACAGATCAGAGGAAATCGGACAATTCTTACAGATGAGATCAGAGACAGGATAGACAGTAACTGAAATACTGTAAAGGCAGACTGTATTTTACAGTACAGTATGTTCATGTCATCCTCAGTTCAGTATTGAGAATAAAGAGATTTTGTTCCCACAATGCATTTGTGTTCATATTTAAAGCATGCTACAAATGAAGAGTGTCAAAAACATACAGTAATAGTGCTTTTATACTCAGCATATATCATTAGAAAAGTAGAAATGTGAAAAATGTTTAGATTTAGCACAGTGGTGTGCAGTTGGCAGTGGAAAGATGTATATATTTGGTGTTTGTGTGTTAAGTTTGGAAGCTAAAGTATCATTTTTTAGAAGTTTATATAGTTTTCGATGTAGTGTTTGCTTTTGCAAGAGATGTAAGATGTTTTGTATTCTGTGTATACGGTTTCGGTTTGTGTGTGGAGCATTGACAAACAGGGACATAGTTTCAGGAACTGCTTCTGATATAGTGAAAAACTGTAAATATTGTGCTGCCATAATTCATGTTACTAGTCAAACTTATATCTATATCTGTTAGGGCTGAATGATATATCTTTATCATATCTTCATTTAGATGTGAACATGCGCAATTTAATATCAATATTTTTTTTTAACCTGTTGATATTCAGACTGTAGGAGTACTACACACATGCTACCTAACTATTATTAACTGGCAGAAGGCAGCAAAACATCCTTTCATTCATCATTCACTCTTCTGACATTTCTTTATTTGTGATGCAATTGTGAAGAAACATTAGAAAACCAGGCTTTTACACTTGGACAACTTGTGCTGCTGGAAATGAAAGCTTACTTTTAACGTTGTCAACATGATGAAATTATTTGATGATCAGTTAGAGATGAATAATGTGCATACACTTGCCACTTTAGGAAAAGTGGTTACATAACCTTCGAAACGAGCCACAACTTACCTGTGCGCATGCAGGAATGTGAGTGCATCATCATCATCATCAGGTACAACTTTTATTTCACACATTCTTCTACCTTGTCAAAACCTAGCACCTACATAACTCAGACGTAAGATTTGGGTGTGTAATTTTGGAAAAGGTCAGTGACTCTTTGAGTCACCTGCCTGAAGCAGGGATGAGGAGTGTAGAGTGTGTAATAGATGTATGGTTAGCTGCTTTCCAAATACACACCCCCACATTCTTTTGACTTTCAAACTTGTCTTGTTTTCAGACCCACAGACTCAAGTGACATCACATGAGGACATTTATCAGACACAGCTCCTTCTGAAATGTAAAATCAGCAGAGTTCTTCTTTAAGCAAAGGATCTGAGAACTTCCTCCACTACAGAATACAAACCTTCGATTTGAGAGATCCTTTTTTCAGTTTCCTTCTCCATGACTTTCTGCCCAAACTTGATCTCTGCCACTTGAGCCACTTTCTCAGCCTCTGCAAAAGACAGAATCATAATTAAACTGTCAGCTTGCAGTGTGGTTTATGCACTTTGCCCTGAACAACCATCATTTTCCTTTGTCTTTCTCACCTATCACAGCTTTGATCCTCTCTGTCTCTGCCTCCTTCTCCACAACCTTCTGTGTCTGTTGAGAGATCAGCAGCTTCGTCTTCTCGCTCTCCCTGCAAACATTAACACACACTTTACCATCGAAGGCTCTGCACACGCACACAGCATTTCACAGAATCCTCAGGACTTTCTTCACAGCAGCTTGATTGACATTTGCTTTACTTTTCTGTTGGACAACGTACACCTTTATCATTCTTATTGGTGTGTTGAGTTTGGTGACATGTGACCCCTGTTGTTATTTCTGCGGCAGTGCTCCCACACACACACACACAGACATGGATATAAGAGCTAGGCAACATTATTCCCTTTAACATGTGCAGAGGTATAATTAGACAGTATAACCAAAATCTACTATTTAAATTTAATTGTCTTCAGTGTTGGATTTTGGCTGACATGAGGCGTCCATGTTTGTGTACCTTTTCAGGAACTTGTTAAAATGAAGCACCAAGTTGGATAAGTTGAAACTTTTAGAAAAGCTTTCTGAGTAATTCTGACTTGGTTACTGACATGAATGGTGCTTATTTATGATATGGTCAGAGACTGGTAATTACAGTAACTCCCATATGAAATGAACGCAGCATAAGACCTGAACACTCCACTCACTAACTTTAAATAACCTCACAGGTATTTTTTTGGTGATGGTCAGGACTTCATATAATATAGAGCTAGACACAGAGTTCATAGCTAACTGCATACTCCTTTGTTTTCAGTGATTTCTGCCATCGTTTTAAATATTACAAGGCAATGAATTGTAGGTAATTCCCAGGAAAAACCCAGATTTACAAAAAACTGGGCAGAAATGGTCAGAAAATGCCCGGACCCTATGCAGTCAGACAGTCCTGAGCCCTGACTAACTGTTTGGGAATGAACATAAAGCCACACATTTCCAACAGTTACAATCATGTTACACAGTGGAGCCCAGGGTGCACAACACCACTGCCCAGACACTCACATAGGCTGTAAAAACAAATGTGAGCTAAACACATACTGGACCACTTATTACAAAGTAAAAGTAAAAGCATGCTCATTAGAAGTCTAACTGTTCACTGCATTTTAAAATTAAATTTGATAAGAAGTGCAGTAAATATAGTAGATCAAAGTTCAACTTTTGATGAGGACGCTTCTTCATTTGTGTTTCATTTTCTAATAAGTGATTCAGAATGTGTAAAGCTGACATTTGTTTTAAAAGCCTGTGTAACAGTCTGATGAGTGATGTTGCTTATCCCTGGACCCTGGCCAGAGTGTTGGATTTTGTAAAAACAAATGTGAGCTTAAACACATTCTGAACTGTTTAACTGACCACTGCCTATTAAAATCGCATTTGATAAGGGCAAAAAATTCTGAGTGTGTAGCTCTGCAAAATCTGTTGGATACTGCAGGATAAAAATGGCTAAAAATGAAACTTTAACACAGGGATCTCTCAGTCATAACTCAGCAATTAAGCTGGTAGGTAAATGCATATCCCACAGTAAATCTATTAAAATCAGACTCATCTACTCACTTAAATTGTTTACTCAATGTGGAAACAGTTACTCGTCAGAGTGGATCAGCACTAATTTTTTTCTGAACAAGAAAAATCACTTGACTTGTGGAGGAGGAAGAAACAATGAGACAGAAGAAAAAGCCCAAGTACAGACAACCAGATCACATCATCGATATCTCTAGTAAGCAGTTACAGTAAGTGATGCACAATGTAAGGTTTTGGCACAGGGACGTCATAGGGTCTGAGACACAACTGAGTGATCAGCAGGTCAAGACTGAGTTCTGATCCTTTGGTTAAGTTTGAAAGTCAAACTAATTCTGTATTCCGTCACAAAAATTCAAAGGAAACTGGGCAGTCCTCATGAGCATCTTATTGTTTCAGGATTCAGATCACTAATGAAACCTATTCCTCAGTTAACTAACAAAATCTTGAAAAAACATAATTTTTGGTTTCAAAATTATTTTTATTTGCAATGTCGTGCTACATCAATGGGATGCAAATTATGCTAACCATTTTAATTGGTACATTTGAGTTTGATTACACTCATAATAAAATCCATTTTCAAAGTACATTACATTACTACAAATTGGCCATATGTAGATGATTTGGGGAGATGTGGACATTGACAAAAGGGTTCATTTGAATTCCAAAACAGGATTCCATTAACTTCACATTTAAATATAGTTCAAAGACTTTTTTAGATGTATGGGTTGATAATATAGTTAGTTATAGTTTTTTTTTTTTTTTTAATTATAATTTTTTTGTCATTTTTTTGTTATACAGCTGTACTTCGTTGTAACACTGTTGCCAATTTGCATGTTGCGGACGGCCAGCTGCCCAAAACATCCATGTAATGTACAAATAAACAATTTAAGTGGAGTGCTGTCCTACTTTTAATTTTTGCCTTTGAGGATTCAGCACTACACATTTATTACACACTTGATTTGGGTCAGTGTAACCTAAACTATAACTAAAACCATGACAATGAAAAGACATAAATGTGTCAGTGAATAACTTCAGGTAAAGGAAGAAACATGTAATAACCAAATGATGCAACATTTTTGGAAAACAGCTGATTAGTGACATGTTTGGAAGAAGTGATGATAAAGGAAAAGTGGAACTCAAGGCTGATGGAAGTTATTTATAGACTGTGTTTTATCCCAGTTCATCACAGTGACCTTGGTCGGATTCATCAGTAGAGGTTAAGGGCAGAGAGAGGGTGAGGGCTGTGATGAGAGAGGATGAGTGTGTATGTACACATTTAAATTCCCTTTTTACAGTGAAGTGTGTGACAGTAAATTTATGTAAGAGAACCCCTGGGACAGCTTTGTTTTCCGGTTCTTGTTAAACCCCCCCAGACAGAGAGGTTGACTTTTTGCTTAAGACATGCAGCTTTATCTTCTGTTTTTCAAATATCTGGTCAAAAAGTGCTCCTTTAAGACCCAGATTTGTGCTTTGCAACAGAAAGCTGGTAACTATGGGGGATGGTGCTCAGCAAACAGTCATTTGCATGTATGCAGGTTGTTATGTTTCTGTTGTAATACTCTCCTGAGATAAAATATTTTGGGTATTTGTTTCATGAGAATTTTATGTGTGCATATTGAGCTCACCCTGCATGTGCTTTGTTTCTCTGCAGTGAAGTTATGCTAAAATGCAGAGTTAAAGCAACTACAATCACACCATGAAAACACACATTAGTAGGGAACAAAGTCGACCAGTTGGGACATGCATGTAGCATTAACTAAGATCAAAATGTAATATGCCTGATGCCTCACATTGCTTTCCTGAATCTGACTACAGTTTACCGTAAATCCTCTGTTTCTTCATCTGACCACAGTAGCTGTGACTAAGCACAACCTGTTGAATCATACAGCGTAAAGCGAAAGTAAAGAAGTAGACGCTCACAGACTGACATGCAACAGCAGAGTCTTCCCACTCTACAGGACTTGGCAGAGGGAGTTGGATGAATGTCAGGTCCATCCATTTGGGAGGAAAAACAAAATACACAACACAGGCTTCAGAGGTCAGGGAACATTCTTTGTTGGGCACAAAAAACAAGAAAGACTCACATGAGCTCGTAGTTCCGGCGAATGCTCTCTGGGATGTTGGGTTTTGTCACACGGACTGCCTGTTGACCAGAGAGACAGACAAAGACAGATCAACTCTATTAAGGAGGCAGATGCAGACAGCAAGAGTGTAACAAGAAAAATTATATTTAAAAAAAACACCAAGGGATTTCTAAAAAAAAAAAAAAAAAAGGCCACTGGAGAGGAGCCCTGAGACAAAGAGTCATGTCCAAGGACCCTCTGAACCCACCGACACTTGGTTTCTCACAAAGAGAAAGAACAATTGTTATTTCAAGTGTTACTGGAGATTTACAGGACATGAGGTTGTACAATGAAATCCCAGTGGAGTGTTTCATATTAACAAAAGAAATGTGGGTGTACAAAAAAAAAAAATATTCAATAGGGGTAAGCAGATGCGGAGTCTTTTAAAATCAGTCAAAAATCAATGTTATTTCTATTAAACACTCATGCTCCAGGAGGGGGCTTTTCTAAATCTTGTGAAACTTGATTTTAAGGCAACAGACTGTAAAAAGACTTTTGTTATCAAGACCTCTGTACGCACTGGATGGTGGATAGTTCGGGTTATTTGACGTGGGGTTGTATGATATAGTCATGCAGAGTCGGAGTATTAGCGGGAGTAGAAACAGATCAGTGTGATGCCAGTTCGGAGAGGCAGCAGGAAACGCCAGCACACTAGCCACAACATGTTTTCTGCTGGCCCCGTGCACAGCAACACATCGCTCTGCCAGTCTGCCGGTGTTTCCTGCTGCTTCTCCTAACTAGCAGCGCGCTGGTCTTAATCTGCTACAGGTAACATACTGACTATGCATGACTACCTCACACCACCACATGTCAAATAACCTGAACTATCCCTTTGAAGTATCCTGCCTTTCCGGTGGTCTCACTGTACCTGTATGATGAGTCCAGGTGCCATGGATGTTAGATCCTCTTGTAGAGTCAACTTTAGGTTTTCATCAATTTGGTCTGTGGTGGAAAAGTACACGCGGTGAGTGAGCTGATGAGGAGTGTGTAACTTCAGTAGAAACTGTCTCTTTGATTGTAAACACAGCTTCATTCAAACATGATAGTACCTTTACTAAAAGAGCCACACTGCTTGCACTGTACACTCACCGAGCACTTTATTAGGAACACCTGTACACGTGCTTATTTATGCAATTTTCCAGCCAATCATGTTGCGGCAGTGCATAAAATCCTGCTGATACATGTCAGGATTTTCAGTTAACATCAGATTGGGGGAAAATGTGATCTCAGTGACTTTGAGTATTTCTGAAACTGCTGATGTCCTGGGAGTTTCTCACAGAAGTCTCCAGAGTTTAATCAGAATGGTGCAAGCAACATAAAACATCCAGTGAGCAGCAGTTGTGTGGACAGAAATGCTCTGCTGATGAGAGGTCAGAGGAGAATGCCCAGACTGGTTAGAGCAGACAGGAAGTCTGCAGTATCTAAGAAAACCTCTTAACAACTGTAGTGAGCAGAAAAAACATCTCAGAATGAACAACAGCAGCAGAGGCAGATGAGCTATAACAGCAGAACAGGTCAGGTCCCTCTCCTGTCAGCCAAGAACAGAAATCTGAGGGTGCAGTGGAAACAGACTCACCAGCACTGGACAGTTGAAGACTGTAATGTAGCCTGATCTGATGAATCATGATTTGTGCTGAGGCAGCAGATGGTAGGGTCAGAACTGTTTCGACGGTTCAGGCTGCTGGTGGTGGTGTAATGGTGTGGGGATTGTTTTCTTTCTACACTTTGGGTCAATTAATTACCAATCAATCTCGGTCTGAATGCCACAGCCTGTCTGAGTGTTGTTGCCCATGTGCATCACTTTATGGCCACAGTTTACCATCTTCTAATAGCTACTTCCAGAATGATAATGCAGATCTGAATCTGAACCTCTGGGATGTGGTAGAAAAGGAGATTGGCAGCATGAATGTGCAGCTGACGAACCTGCAGACACTATGTGATGCAGTCATGTTAACATGGAGCAGAAGAATTGAGGCTGTTAAAAGCAAAGAGAGATCCAATGATGGAGTGGCCATTGGGAAAATCTGACTGTCCCCCCATGGGCTGCTACACAAATTGGGTGCGAGTGTGTGTGAGTGAACAGGAGAGAGAGAGAGATATGGATCAGGCTTCACGGCTCACTCTCATTCTGTGTACATCATCTCCCTCAAGTCTGTCTCCCTCTCCGCCTAATTACCCCTCTGTTCGGTCACACAGCTCCGCCCACACGCTTACCCTTTATGTGTTCGTATCTTTATCATGGTTTAAGCAGTGAGGCAGCAGTGGACTGATGCCGACTCGTTTTACATGAATAAAGTTAAAAAAAACAAACAAAAAAAAGAATCCAATCCACGGCTAATTTAAATGTTCTTTAAATTTTAGAACAGAAACATCCAGTGACAGAAGAAAAAGTCACTAAGATTCAAATAAGCGTGCTGCTGTTTTCTGCTGTTCTGTCCAGTCTGAATTATAATCTCTCTCTGCACTAACCTGTTAGTATAAAGTCATTTTTGAGACTGTAGCTACTTTGTTGTAGTTTTGGACTGTAGGACAATCTACAACAATGAAATCATCATTGAATCTTTAATTTAATGGTGTAAATAACAATTAATCATGTGCAGGTATTTCTATGTCATGTATTGCTCTACAAATCTTCACAGTATATTTTACTGTTTGCTGCAGGATTCTTGTAAAGTGTGACACAGGCTGTATGTGATGGTGTGTGTCCAGATGGGTTTTGGTGAGGCCTGTCGGACTCACCACCCAGTATCAGTATAGTGTTCCTAATAAAGTGCTTGCTAAGTGTATTTGGCATGTTGTGATTGAGAGGGAGTTACATGAAGAAAGGCAGACGTTCACGGTTCTCACACAGACCATGTTTTTCTGATGCAAAGGACACTGACCTCTGCTCGTCACAGTGAATCCTCTAACACCGTGTCATCCACCTCAAACGATAAACTGGGACTCACATCAAGTCATACTTATTCACATACTCTATCAAAAGTACTTTGCTTAATATTGAGCTGTTCATCCACACAGTTGGTGAGGATGAAATCTGACAGCCAGATTATTGCTACTGTTTGTTGTACAAAGACTGTTTTTTTTTGCTTTTTTTTTTTTTTTTTTTACTTTTTTTGGCCAACACTGCAACATGAAAAAAAAAAAGAAAAAACATTAACATTTTCATAGACATCTGATAGGCCTATGAGAAGAACCTCCTCAGCAACTTTAAAGTGGCTCTTTCATTTGTGGTTTATTAGTGATCTTTTTTTTTTCTTTTAATTCTCTTTGTGCATGAGGGATGAAAACTGAGTAAGAGAATAATGTATGTATTTAATCTCTTAACTCAGTTTCGTGCTGTGCTGAAAATGTTTTAAAAATCTTACTAGCTCTGTTCAAGTAAGACTGATATCCTGACTTTAATGTGAATATAATATGTAACTTTTCCACATTAAAATGTCTAAAAATGGGGGCTTCGAGTAGCTCAGTTGGATGAGCATCCGCCCCATGTATAGAGGCTACAGTCCTCGCTGCAGTTGGCCCTGGTTCGAGTCCCGCATTGGACGGCCTTTAGCTACATGTCATTCCGCCTCTCTGCCTCCCCATTTCCTGTCTCTCTCTACTGCACTATCAATAAAGGCACAAAAAGCCAGAAAAAAATTTAAAAAATGACTAGACCTATGTTATATATATTATTATTATATATATTATTATATATATTTTTTCAGTTGTGTCACAAATGTTTCCAGCAATTCTCAAACCTTGAGGAATCTTTTAATCATGCTAACATTCTGTTTCATTTTGCTGTCTGCCAATGACATCATGTCCCCTATGTGTGTGCATGTGTCAGAGTTGTGGTTTCCTGCCAGAAACTAAAAATTTTATCCAGCCTTATTTCTAAGATTCACTTTTTACACCTTGGTTGTATTAACTATACTCATATTGTAAACAGATGCAGGATTTTAGTCACAGAACATTTGGATCTGAAGTTGTCAGAGAAAACGGCTGGGTAAATGTTAGACAGCTTAGCTCCTAAATGCTCCCAGACATTGTGTGGTTGGTGAATCACTCATTTCTAAAGTGAAACTGCTTTTTTGAGTGTTTCATACCAGTTTTAATCTCTTGGTCTGTTTGTTATGGAGAGGAGGGGACCTTGGGGAAAATCCGGCTGTTGGTAAAAAGTTCATGAACATCTGGATCAGTTGTCAAATCAAAACAAGCTCCCAGCCCTTCCCTGACGTCTCGTCGTATTGCATGTGTAAAACACTGACTAATGTGACACTGCTTATATTCAGTGTTTTTACCAGTTATAATCACCGGGTCTGTTTGATTTGGAGAGGAGGAGACCTCTGCGGATAATTCAGCTCCCAGTAAAAACCTCTGTATTATTCAATATATCAGTCAACTTACTGATATTAGGCAATAATTGCTCCAAAGTCCGTCATGCCTATTGAGACGAATACTACAATTAACTTATTAAGGAAAGTCGTTTGTTAATAAAATTTTTCCCTGCACGTTCACTCATCTGGTTAATGATCATGAGTTTGTTTCTTGTAGTTACACTATGGTTGTGTCTACATACTGTGTACTGAGTTTAGGTGTATAGGTTGTTACAGTCAAAAGAGTGGGCTCACTTCAGTAAAGGATGAAGGTACAGCAAATACCAAGTCCATATGCATCACAGCTGTTGTGTGTAAACCATAAATTCAAGGCGTTTTGATCTCAAAGCTGTCAGCTGACTAAAAGCTGTTCATGTAGATCCTTTTATGTACAATTAACCAAAACAAAGAGAAGATGTTTAAAATTAGCAGCGAGTTTACACCCAGTCTGTAGCCCACCACACTCACCAAACAAGCCGATGTAGACCTCCTGCAGTGAGTGGACACTGCAGAACTGGTTGAGCTCGTGGTGAACCTTGTTGAATATCAAAGCTTTATCGTAGTCTGCGGTGAAGTTCCTCACTATGTCGTACACTGCAGAGAAGAACAGAGATGTACCTATCTGGTAAAGATGAAGCCAGCTGCAACAGATGAAAGTCTACTGTGTCCGTCAGTGCCAAGAGGTAATTTTCAGATGTGTCTGAGTGACACCCAGCTGCACGATCCAAAAGAAATACCACAGGAGTATTTGCTGTTTTTGGCCTGTTGAAGACGTGAGTTTACCTGCTGATGGAACGAGATAGTTCACCACCTCTATGCGATCAAAGTAAATCATCACTCCTCCACTGAAACAAAAAAAAGAAAATGGTCAATTTACTATCGGGCAGACACTCTTATTCAAAACACCAATATGTGATAAAAGGGACTGTATTTTGAGATGCCAGTGGTTTAGACATGGACTAGTGAACCTCTGACTCTGACAGTGTTTGTTTAATGTACTGTAGGAGTGTTATAAGTATCAAGACCACATCTGATCCAACTTAAACCAGTCAAAACAGCAAACCCACCTTGTGCCGCATGGTACGTTCTTCACCTCATCGGTCTGCAGCGTCGTCTGTGAGGAAAAAATACAGATTCACATTTAATGTATCTCTAACTGACACTCCAGATGAGCTTGTCTGACATCACTGTAAAGATACCAAACGCTCAGTGGAAGTTAATCCATCAGCACAGTATGAAATCAGATTATTCAACATATTAAATTGAGGAAAGCTGCATTTCAGTCGTGCATACAGGACAAACGTCTCTATTACAGAATGTGCCAACACACCCTGAACACTACAAGTTTCACAAAAGGTAGTTCATATTACAAGCCTGGGTTACTGTGTTTGATTCCTCTTGGGTTTTCTACCCTTTAAACAAAGGGTGTGTGCACCAGACCAAAGAGGTTTCACTTTCTTCTTGGAGCAGCAGAGGAGTGCACACGTTCACTGATAAACAAGCTTTACACATTTCAAGTAGAGATATATATTGGTATGAGTGAACCTGTCGGCTGAAAAGTGACAAGGAAATGTAGCACAGAAAAGGCTAATTAGGTTTGTTGTCATTACATGTCACCATTATATAGTTTGTTCACCAGAGACCACTGACAACTTTCACACAGTGAAATCAGTGTTGTCAGTACAACGGTGCATTCAGTAAGTATTCAGACCCCTTCACTTTGTTCACATTTTACATTGCAGCTTCATACTAAAATAAAAAAACATCTTTCCCTCATCAACGTACACTCAATACCCCTGAATTTTAGAATTTGTTTGCCATTTTATGAAACAGGAGAAACTGAAATATCACATTGACATAAGTATTCAGACCCTTTGCTGTGACACTTGAAATTTAGCTCAGGTTCATCCCATTTCTCTTGATCATATTTGAGATGTTTCTACACCTTGGTTGGAGTCCACCTAGGACCCTCATATACATATGATATGGTATCCTCCTCTTATGCAAAGAAGGCAAAACTTTTTTAACAACAGCTTTTTGCAAAATGATCACATGCTCACAATTAGTCGACGTGTCAATTAATGAAAAGATGATACTATTTATGTTTACAACAGCAGCTAAGAGCACGACTGTCTGATTATGTGATTGTCTTGTCCAATGGAAGACAATCCCTCGTTCCATTTTGAAACAAATGTGGACACATGCATTTTTGGATATTTCAAATTTTGAATTAGCACCTGCTAGAACACATTCAGGCTCACATACCCTGTATTAAATCATTGCATCAGACCAATCAGAAAGGGTTTGAGGAAGATATTGTATCTGTGTTTTGTTCTCCTCTCTTTTTATTGTGACCTTAATATGCGGCCCATTACTTTATGTTATTATTTAATCTCTATTACTGGGATTGTGCCTATATATGAGCTGAGGACCTAAGGCCAGAGAATGTAATGTATGTGTAATTGTATAATGTACAAAATATGAGAGATTTGTAACTTTGTGTAAATAAAACTGACTTGACTCACCTGAACAGACTTGTAGGTGGTGATGAATGGAAGCATAAGGTGGAAACCAGGGCCACTGGTGGTGGTCAGGAGAGCCCCTCCCCTGTGTTACACACACACAGACAGTGTTGATGATTAAATGTTAGGGTGAGAACAGTAAACGGGGGATAAGCTTGCAATGGGAAAAAAAAACATTCATTCATTACTTGTGGTAAGAGCAACTAAAGATGTAAGTCCAAATGTCGAAACTTGACGTAGTCCTCATTCAGACAAGAAGTCAGACAGTTGTTGTCCTTTGCTGCTCATGGGATTTTCCTAGATTAATTTCTTTTTGTGATAAAGGATTAAACTTTGCTCTCAGACCACACTAGCATGAGTCATAAGAGACCATAAGCTTAGTCATATTTACTGCGTGTCGGCTCAAGTGATAAGACTTAAATTACCCTGCATCCAAGAGGGTAAAAAGGCACAGAACCAGAGCTGGCAGTTTTGACAATCTTAACACCCAGGTATTTAACCCACTGTTTAACAGCTAAGTTGCGTGAGGTTAACATGTCTGACGCAGGTGCTCAGTTCTTTATTGTCCCACTTTTACAGCAGAGCAGTTTACCTCTATGTCTCATGCACAAAATAAAAACAACAATGTGTGCTGCTGTCTCACCTGTAGTAAACTCCAGTGTGTCCCTCGTCTATCTTGTGTACAGAGGCTAAAAGTGCTGCTCCTCCGAGAGCAGCAATTATTGAGAATATGGCACCCCACTGTGCCATTCTGGAAAGACAGGAAACAGCATGTGAAGAACAACAGATGTGAACAGAGTTTCCCTTTTGGGGGTTTTCACAATATCCTGTCTTAATTACAATCAAATGTTTAGATACTCCCCCAAATTCAAGGGAAGGACAGTCAACATGACCTGCACTCCCTCAGCAGCTTGTGTAGTGCTGTAGTAACACTTTGAGTTGGCGTCTTGCTCACTGTTTATCTCCTCTCAGCTCAGGCTTAGTCAGGCATCAGCTGAGACTCAGTGACCTTGTCACACTTAAAGAGGATTTACGATCAAGTGCGAAATCATTGTAACTTCCCTTGTCATACATATAACAAATGTGCCACTACAATCTTGAACATTATTTTAATTTCTTTATAGAAATATACTGAATCTTAATGTAGCCAGTTTGAGCTGAAGGAGCAGGATGAGGAGCTGCCTCCACTCTGGTTAGAGAGGATTTGCAGACATACAATCTGGTGACCCTGCTGGCTCAACACAAGACTTGCCTCCAACTCACAGTGTTTATAATGAAGATTTTTCATTTTCTCTTCATATGTTAAATCATATTGAATATAAATATGTTAAATATACAGTACATCTTTCTTCAATGTTCAATTGACCGTGTTATGTCACTGGTCTGCAGCTTTTTGTCTACATATGAGTTGGACATTTTTCTTGGCAGCGTTTTTAACTCTGGGGGGAATGAACAGAGATGAGAAAGTGAAAACAGTAACAACTTGAGCTTTCGAAAAGTGGCGGACACCGCTTCCTCCACAGCCTTACAGCAGTTCAAAGTTAACACTATCAAAATACACCACATCTTAGGTAACACGTGTATGCCGAATGGAAGGAATGAATGTAAAGATTTGTTAACACTGTTAAAGTAATACAATTATGATAGGTATGTAAGACTTATTGGCAAGTCAACTAAAAATATCTAAACATTTTAAGGAGTTTGGTTTCGAGGGCTTCGGGCTAACAGCATTAGCAGGAGGTAAGTTACTATATTATTGTTGCCTCAAAGAGAGGTACATGAGACATGTTTACATATAATATCAGTTACTTGTGTGTCACAACCTTCACTTCAGTGTCAGCGTTGAAGCACTGCACAAGGCCAAATATTGAGTAACCCTAGATACAAGTTAGCAAAATAATCTTAGCACGTTGTATCTTCTTTTGACGTGCTGCTGTCATATTAAGCTAGACGAGAGGTGCTAATACTTTGTTTAAATAAACAGTAACTCATGTTCTTGTTGCTCGGCAGCTCTTACCTGTAATTTGAAGCAAGATAGATGACACCAACAACAGATAGGAAGCAGGTACCTACGGCAACCGGTACCTCCCTCTTCTTCGTTTGAGTCCTCAGCATCCAGGTTGCTGCAGTAGCGCCCTCACGTGGACGGACGGTGTAATGTCGAAGTCTGCTCCCTCGTCTGTGTGTTATGCCTGTAACCATATCCAGTTGTAACAGGAGGGAAACACATTCTAACGGGGGAACAGACTTCGACATAACACCGACAATCAGCTTCTGTCTTTCACATGTAAGGAGCTCCAGTGTGTAAGATAGGCTTCTCAAAATGTGCTTGTTTGGGGCCCCTGGTGGCCCCAGCAACAGCTGGAGCTGGATTGCTGTATGTCTTCCTCTATCAGCATGATGAGTGACAGTATTAAAACACCCATGGGTTCCAGTATAATTTAACTATATTCATATTAAAAAACAGGCAGGGGGGGATATGATTCACTATTTGAAACAATACTTACAAAGGCTTGATTACAATGGAGATAATTCTACACTTTTTATTGCTGAAACTGAATCAAGAACAATTTACAATTACAATTTACTATATACAGTCAATGAGCACTTTATTAGCAACACCTGCACACCTGTTTATTCATGCAGTTATCCAATCAGCCAATCATGTGGCAGTAGTTTAATGTAGGCCTATGAAATCCTGCAGATTACAGGTTTGGTTAATGTTCACTTCAAACATCTGAATGAGGAAAAAATGTGATCTCAGTGACTTTGAGAATTTATGAAACTTCTGATCTCCTGGGATTTTTGCACACAACAGTCTCTCGAGTTTTTACTCAGAATGGTGCAAAGAACAAAAAACATCCTGTGGATGGAAACACCTTGCTGACGAGAGAGGTCACAGGAGAACGGCCAGACTGTTGGAGCAGACAGAAAGTCTACAGTAACTCAGATAACCACTCTTAGTTATGAGCAGACATGCATCTCAGAATGCACAACATGTCAATCCTTGAGGTGGATGAGCTACAACAGCAGAAGACCACGTCAGGTTCCTCTCCTGTCAGCTAAGAGCAGAAACCTGAGATTGTTATGGACACAGACCCACCACCACTGGACAGTTGAAGACTGGAAATTGTAACCTGGTCTGATGAATCTTGATTTGTGCTGAGGCAGCAGATGGTAGGGTCAGAATTTGGCATCAACAGCGTGAACCCATGGACCCAACCTGTCTTGTGTCAACAGTCCAGGCTGCTGGTGCTGGTGTAATGGTGTGGAGAATGTTTTCTTGGCACACTTTGGGCCCATTAATACCAATCAATAATCGTTTGAATGCCACAGCCTGTTTGAGTATTGTTGCTGACCATGTGCTTCACTTTATGGCCACAGTTTACCATCTTCTAATGGCTACTTCCAGCAGCGTAATGCACCAAAGCAAAAGGTTTCATGGTCATGACAGTCAGATCAATGAACTTTAGTGGCCTCCCCTGTCTCCAGACCTGAAGCCAGTAGAATACCTTTGGGATGTGGTAGAGCAGGAGATCGGCAGCATGAATGTGAATCTGCAGAAATGATGTGATGCAATCATGTCAACATGGAGCAGAATCTCAAATCCATGCCACAAAGAATTGAAGCTGTTTGAGAGCAAAGAGAGGAAACAATCTAATAATGTCATATATACATATATATACTATTTTCTGTGAAACAAGTACTTCTACTTTTCATACTTCAGGTACATTTATCTAATAGTGCTTCTATTGTTTTACTTGAAAGGGATTTTTAATGCAGGTCTTTTAATTGTAATGGAGTATTTCAGGTTAATGTACTGGGACTTTTACTGAAGTGAAGGATCTCAGTACTCCCTCCACTTCAGCTTCTGCTCATTGTAGCTGCATTAATGTGATATCAAATATCCTTGCTTTTAATTTGTCTCATGGTGCTGACAAGGTGAGTGTATGTGATGAATGGCTGTGAGTAATTTATATTATTTGTTTTGTCTTGTGTGTTCAGTTTCCTTAGTGCTGTTCTGTCACCGTGTGGAAGTTTTACCTGTAACCTGCCAGGTGAAAATTAGCCCATAGTCTAACTCAGGTACAAAGAATCATGTTTTTATGTTTAATATTAAACATGTTCCGTTACAAGTAAAATATATTTAAAATAGTAATTTCCATTGTAGGTACTGCTAAAAAATATATTTTATCAAAAAAGCCTCTAATGTACTTCAGGTATTATAAATGCAGAACTAGAGTTCAGTATGTCTGTTTGTTTGTTTGTCTTCAATACATTATGTAAAATTTTCACTTCTTTATTTGACATCTTCCATCCATCCATTTTCTACCGCTTATCCTCTAGTAGGGTCACGGGGGGGCTGGAGCCTATCCCAGCATCCTTTCGGGCGAGAGGCGGTGTACACCCTGGACAGGTCGCCAGTCCATCGCAGGGCATTCACACCTATGGTCAATTTGGAGTAACCAATCAGCCTAGTCCCCATTTGCACGTCTTTGGACTGTGGGAGGAAGCCGGAGTACCCGGAGAGAACCCACACAAGCACGGGGAGAACATACAAACTCCACACAGAAAGACCCCGCGTCTGAGCCGGGACTCGAACCCGGAACCTTCTTGCTGTGAGGCGACAGCGCTAACCACTTTTCCACCGTGCCGCCTTGACATCTTCCGTTGTATTATAATTTTATTGCACATTCAAAGCTATTTCACCCACTTCCATAACGTGAACAGCAGATGGCACCAGAGACCAGTTTACACATGCTGCTGAATTTCCCTGAGAGGCTGAAAGGACCTCACTGCTTCAGCCTGCTATGATTTCAGCATTTAAAAATTTAACAGGCTTTCACTGTTATTTTGCAGCAGGTATTTATTTTAATCATTCTGTCGTTTGCAGCGGATATTTTTAGCTGTTGCACAAGACAGAAAGTTTTACATTCATTACAGAAAATTAGTCACAATCTACCAATTAAAAAGTGCAATCACTGCAAAACTCAAAAAGTCGATTCATTTCATCCTCAATCAGCAACAAGCCTCCGGCTGATACACAACTAAGGGTCTTGACACTAAAATGGCTGTGTGCTTTATTTTTAGACACTGGCCTCTTGAGAAATTTACAAAGGACCACAGCTAACCCCTAGGTGCTGCAGTGGCAGCTCTGTGCCGTGCATTTTAAACAGGGATGGGCGGGGTGGTGGAGGGGAAAGGGAACAACAGAGCAAGGGAAAAGAAGTTTGTCAGAGTTCATTAAGTATCAAGGGAACATCGCTGGAACTGGCAGCGTAAGCCGCGCCGGGGCCCTAGTGCCATTAATCACGACTGACAAGAGACCAGGGGCCGAGGGAGGGGGTGGAGGGGAGGGAGGGCAGCTCTGCCAGAGACTCTGGTAGTGATTATAGAGCGGGGTCCAGGCAGACCGGGCCAGGGGTGCTGAAGGTAAAACACACCACAGCCAAGGCTATAAAGTTCAGGTACCTTCACACAGATCACACTCACACAATCACAGACGGAGAAGACAGACATCTAACTCCAGGCTTTGAAGACATGACAGGGTAATTGTTGTAAGAGTAGTATATTTTTGTATTAAGAAGAGAAGTACAGTGCCGTGCAGACACTAGATCTCTCCCTTTGTGTATTTCATCCTCTCTCCCTCATTTATATGAGCTGAGCCTCTGGCTTAATAACATGCAGGAGGAGGAGAGTGGAAGTGCGGCAGTAACAGAGTGTCGCCCATATATCTCTGTCTGCCTGCCTTATTTTCTCTCTGCAGCCTCAGAAATCTTGTGGTAGCTCGCCACACTGCTGCCACCCTGGAAGAAGAAATAAATGGGAGCGAGAAAGAGAGGGGAGAAAAGAAAGAGGAGAGCTCGTGACTTGTGAAGATGGAGGCCTCTGTTAAGTGCTGTGCTTGAAAGCCCGTCCGGCCTCATTAGCTGTCAGTTGTAACAATACTGAGCTGGCAGCAAAGACTGCTCCCAGTCTCGGTGCCATAAATCACAGTCTGACAGGGCCCTGACAGGGCTGGGAACCAACACACATGCAAGACTTGCTTGCTTTCTGTCTCTCTGCTGTTCCCTTTTCTTTCTTGTCTCTGCCTCTTTTTTCCACTGCTCATTCTTTTTCCTTCATTATCTTCCATTCTCTCTCTCTCTCTCTCTCTCTCTCCATTTCTTTCTCTTTCTTCGTCAGCACCACTCCCTTTCTTTCTCTTTCCCTTTCTTTTATTTGTCTTTCACACACACTTACAGCACATTGCAGCATATCAGCAGACAGCTCAGGACACATGTGCTCACATGAACACACTTGCGGCACTTCTTTTTTTTTTTGCGTCCCATACATAAGTGTTTTTGACAGGACGAGTTTGGAAAAGTCTTTGATTTTTTGATGGATGAGATGTGTTCACAAGCTCTGTGTGTGCATGTGTGCTCTTTTCTCATAGTATAATGTATCATATGATATATGTCTAGTCGGTCTAGGAGGTCTCATCATAGCTGTGTGATATCACTTGGTTGTAATTTAGGAATTTAATTGTACGCTATTGTTTAATTATCAGTGGGTAAGAGCCTGATGAAATACTTAATATTGTAAAGCTGGGCTGATTTTACCATCAGTTCAAATTTAAAATTGACAGAAATTACTCTTGTTCTTTTGTTAAAGAAATATTTGACATTTTAGGAAATAAGATTATTCGCTCTCTTGCCAGGAGTAAGATGAGGAAATCAGTACCTCTCTCATATTGGCAAATATGTAGCAAATCAGCAGGCAATTATCTTAGCTTAGCTTAGCTTAGCTTAGCATAAAGACTAGAAGCCTGCCCCTAGCCCCTCCCCCCAAAAATATCAATACAAAACAATTGTTAACCATAACTTTCCATTTTTAAACTTTGGTTTTTGTACAGACTAGAAAAAAAATAATATAACGTTTATTAGAGCTTCAGAGCTTTAGACAGAGCCAGGCTAACTGTTTCCTACCAGCAGTTACAGAGCAACATTATCATTTGGAGTTGTGTTTCTGGTGAATGTAAGTCCAATATTCTCTCTCTTTAGGTCTATTTTTGGTCTCTACAAACTCTTTTGTTGATGATTGCTTTGCTATGTTCA